GCCGGCGGCGACCCCGCGCCGCCCGCCTGAGGAGCCCGCGCACAAAGCCGCGCCGCGGCCATGGAAGAGGAGCTGAAGTGCCCGGTGTGCGGCTCGCTGTTCCGGGAGCCCATCATCCTGCCGTGCTCGCACAATGTCTGCTTGCCCTGCGCCCGCACCATCGCCGTGCAGACCCCGGAGAGCGAGCAGCACCTGCCGCCGCTGCTCCACTCCCGGGGCCCCGCGCCGTCCCCCGCCGCCGCGCCGGGAGCGGCGCCGGGAGCGGCCGCGGGCTCCGCCGCCTGCCTGGACGCGGAGAGCGCGGCGGGCGGCGGCGGCGGGGACCACGCGGACAAGCTGAGCCTGCACAGCGAGACCGACAGCGGCTACGGCTCCTACACCCCCAGCCTGAAGTCCCCCAATGGCGTGCGGGTGCTGCCGCTGGTGCCCGCGCCCCCGGGGGCGGCGGCGGCTCCGCGGGGCGCGGGCCCCGCCAGCTCCTCCCTCACCTGCCCGCAGTGCCACCGGAGCGCGTCCCTGGACCAGCGCGGGCTCCGCGGCTTCCAGCGCAACCGGCTGCTGGAGGCCATCGTGCAGCGCTACCAGCAGGGCCGCGCCGCCGCCGCCGCCGCCGCCAAGTGCCAGCTGTGCGACCGCAGCCCGCCCGAGCCGGCCGCCGTGCTGTGCGAGCAGTGCGAGGTGCTGTACTGCGCCGCATGCCAGCTCCGCTGCCACCCGGCCCGCGGGCCCTTCGCCAAGCACCGCCTGGCCCCGCCGCCCGCACAGCCGGGCGCCCCCGGCGGCGGCGGGGACGGCGCCGGGAAGGGGGCGGGCGGCGGCCGCAAGCTGCCGACGTGCGCCGAGCACGACCTGGAGAACTACAGCATGTACTGCGTGAGCTGCCGCAGCCCCGTCTGCTACCAGTGCTTGGAGGAGGGCAGGCACAACAAGCACGACGTGAAGGCCCTGGGAGCCATGTGGAAGCAGCACAAGGTGAGTCCCGACAGCCCGCTGGGAGCTGGGGTGATGCCCAGAGCTGGGGTGATGCTCAGCACTGCGGTTTGTTCATCCCAAAGCCCCAAAAACGAGTTGCAGTTTGTGGGACAAGAGGTCCTTCATGTCCATCATCCTCACAGACTTTTCTCCCCTCGGAATGCTGCTCTTAGGTTTTTGGCCCTTCCTGACTTCCCACTGACCCCGCAGCTGCTGCTCAGGGTTGGAAAACCCAGACTCCCTCTCATGTTGGCCTCTCCTTGACCAGTGAGGTTCCACCAGGTCTCAGGCAGATAGCTGGAATTAGCAAGTCCATCTCACCAACTTGTTTGCCTTTCACAGGGTCCTTGGCCATCCTGTCCTCAGCCTTCCATGCTCTCGCAGTGGCAGCCCCTACCTGTGAGGAGACACGGTGGTTGTTCCTTCTTTTCACCACCTTCCTTTCATCCAGGACTCTGTGCAAGCTGCCACAACTGTATGTCAGCGAGGGAGAGTGGCTCACAGCCACCCAAATATTTTAGACAAGAAAGCATGGTACAGATGATCATGGACACTGGGTGTTCTCCTTAAAGAGGTCTCCTCCCACTCGGTTCCCAAAGAAGCCAAGAGTAATGGCTGGAGGGATTTTCAAAGATAAATAAGGAATTGTAGATGGGGACTAGGGACAAGTAAAGGTGCTTCTGATTCACATATTGTCACTGTCTGATTCATGCTTCCCTGCAAGTGATGCTCCCTACCCCTCCCTGGATTCCATTATGGACAGGTCAGAGCCATTTTCTTGGCTACACAGGGGTTTAGTGAGGTTTGATAGAGCTGGTGGGTAACTTGGTCATGCTTTCCTTGCTAAAAATAAGGATTTGCAACCATGTGGCCTTAGAAGTTGAAAATATGTATGAAGTTAGTTCTTTCTTGCTGAGAATGATGGACCCTGGAAAAATTATTAGTTCATACATATGATATTAGAGAGGGGACTTCGATACCTGAGAGCTGAGGACAATCCTTTGGCGCTTCCTGCTGTATTGGTGTTAAAGGACTTCTCCCACAGCTATGCACTTGACCAGCTCTGCTGGCTGCAGGATTTCCTTCTTTTTACTCTCTGCTTGCAGTTAGCAGTAACGAAAGCACAGAGAGATCCTTTCAAACACTGCAGGAAAGGTCAAAATCAGGACTGGTCTCATCACCCCTCGGCCATGGAGTGGTTGAGTGCAAGATAAGCTGGGGTATTTGGCAAGACAAAAAAATTGCTTTCTATTTTAAGATCCAAAGAAGATGCCCCTTGGGGTGATCTCCTTTGTTGATGCATCCAAAAAGAAAGACAAACTTCTTCTGGAAGTGTTTCAGTTTGAATGTTATGCCAGCAGCTCAGCCATCCTTGCGCCCTAACATGATTGAGTGCTTGTGCAGAGAAGTTCTCTTGCAGATTAAACATTTGCAGCTGCTGTTCGTATCCCAGTGTCAGAATCCACTTCTGAGCAGAATTGTTCTGATGAGCAGGATCTGAGTTCACAGTTCAAACACAGCTGATGTTTTGGAGGGCATGAGAGACCAGCTTGTGATGTACTATGGTCTACCTTGAGTTAAAACTATTTGCTGCCTTTTGGAACATTACAGTCCAGTGTAATCAAAGTTCAGAATCAGTAAATTTCTCTCTTTTCTACTGTCAAATATTGAAAAAAAACCCTTTTGGTTGGTATTTTTACTGTATTTTTTTCTGTGACTGAGGTATCATTTTTTCTGTGACTGATTTTTCTCTTTATTTGCATATTCAATCAATGTCAAAATTTTAGTGAAAAGAAACCCTCAAAATTAAGTAATCTGGGGACTCTGAAATTATGCTCTTGTGAATATTTTGTTTTTCAGAAAAATGTGCTTGGCACAAATCAAATATAATGGAACTGTATAGCCAGGCAACCTAAAGCATCATCTCACATTCATTCAGATAAATTGTTTTGGAATGAGATACTTCTGCTTAGAAATAGTTCTCTGATACAGCAATTTCTACAAGTTTATAACCTGCAGTTACTTTGGCCAAACCATAAATTACTTACATTGACTGGTACGCCAAACGTAATTTAAGGCTTATGTGTTGTCTCCAGATGCTCCGGGTATAGCTAGTAGAGGCAGCTGAAAGGTTTGTTCTTAGAGCAAGAAGCCTTCCTTGTGTTAGCCCTTTGTTTTGCTCCTCGTTTGTCTGGGCCTTATTACAGTGACCTAATGGCAAACTGCAGAGTGTAAAACCTTGTCCAGGCAGTGCTGCAGGCCATGCAAAGAAATTTGCACTCACCCTCAGCTGCACTGCTGATACCAAAGCTGTGCTGGACTGGTTGGCTCCTGTTAGTGGTGCAGGCTCCCCATTGCACTGCTGTGTGTATCTTCTACAAAGTTAAATTGGTGTAAAATGACAACAAGGCTCCAATGGCACAAATCTGTGAAAATCTCCTGGTTTAGCTGGACTTCATTATATTCGCTTGCCTTAAAAGTGCATCTGACCAGCAGTTCAAGGTTATTAAGAAAAACTCTTAGTCTTCTGTTGAAGTTTAATCCTTTCATGTCTTCTTAGCAAGTACAGTGGTACTGTAATCACATTTATGAATATGAGGAATGATGGGGGACACAGTGCAGCTCTGCCCATTCTAAAGGGTTAATTATACATATGTACCAAAATGCTGAAAACTCCCTCATCTGGATCCATCTGTGAAGGCTAGGCAGGCAGGCAAGTGTAGGAGTCCTCATGCCTGCTTTTATTTCCTGACCTAAAGACTTGTGTTCTCAAAAACATGTGGGCTCTATGAGAATTCAACACCAGGACAAGGTTATCTAATCAATAGTCAATCTGCTGCTAAAGAGAGATGGAGGGAAGGCAAGCTAAATGAGCATGAACTGTTTGGTTGACAAAGGACATGGCCATTATCTGGTTCATGTCCTGAAATCAGAGGTCTTCCCTGCCCATCTGGGTTCAATTACTTACCCTTGTGATCTCTGTGTTCCTGTAATTGGTGGAAATAGAAACTTGGTATCCATCTCCAGCCCTCAGATCATTGGTTGCAAGACCAGGTATTAAAGTAAGGATAACACCAGGTGGAATACCATTTGTCAGAAGTTATTAATTGTCCCAGTCAATGGAGCTTGTTACTTTGGCTTACAATATATATTTCTGTGGTATGAAAGACAGCTCTGGGTGTACTGGGCATTTTTATGGCTTGGCTGGTTTACTGGGGGCTTAGTCATGTAGCTCCACTTGATTTTAATGAGAAGTGCGTGACTAAATTCCTCTGATTTGCAAGGTGTCTTTTACCAATAATTGGAAAAACAAAGCTATTATCTCTAAGTGGGTTTCACAAATGGAAATCTGGTCTTCTACTCATGCTGCAGTCAAGTTAATGCAACCACATGTTTTAATGAACAGATCAATTTGCTTATGAGCCCTTTAGACAGTGACATGGTTGAGTTTCTGTTGCAGCTCTCTGTGACTGGAGGGAGCCAGGAGTGACTGTGCTGATTGCCGTTGGTATATATGCTGTTTACAATTCATCTGTGGTGGTTTTCTACAGCTGCTGTGATGCCCACATACTGCTTTTGTCTCTTCTGATCTGGTGAAATACACTTTGAGATGATTTGAAAGCTGGTGCAGATATTGGGAAACTGGAAGTTTTACTTTTGTGGGGACCAACCATTGGTTTTGATTTGAAAGAAAGGAACTCTTGCCTCCCTGAAACAGTTTGGTTAGGACAGTCAATGACAGAGAATATAATGTTTCTGCCACCTATTTCTTTCTTGCTTACACCCCAGCTGCTTTGTCATGTGCTGCTTTCACCTTGTTCTGTGTCATCTTGACAAATCAAAGGCTCAGATGTGCCCTGTGAGTGGAACATAAAGTACAATCAAAAAAGGTGTGCTTCAAACTTTGGCAAACATGGTCAGACTGTGCAGAGCTGACCTCAAGTCCTGATTGTCTATTCTCGCAGAAAACAGAGATTTTTTTCATCGACCTGGAGTATGCTTCTATGGCCTCCCATAGTGTCAATATCAAACATCATCATTTCAGGGTTTTGTGCATTTACAGGTTTGTGTACGAAATACAGGGTTTGTGTACAAAAAGAGCAGAGACTCAGACATTGAGAAATAGGCACACTGTATTTCCTTTACATTTGTTATGAATTAATTTTGTAAAGCATATTTACATTTAGATTTTAGCACTAATGTGCTTTCAAGGGGCCACTTTCCAGCCTCTTGTTCCCCAGTCTTGCATACACCCAGGGTTGCTCCATCCCAGGTGCAGAACCTCGCAATGACGTCAGCCAGTTCTTTGAGTACACTTAGTGAATCCTGTTGGGACTCCTAGACTTATAGAGATCCATCTAGAGTAGCAAATTCTGCACAAATTTGGGGTTGACTGGGAGTTAATCATTCTCACAGTCATGGTCCTCCAGCTCAGAGCACTGGGACCCCAAAATGCATCACTGGGTCTGCCAGGGGCAAAACCACTGTTTCCTTCCTGTTCTGGAAGTTCATCAACAAGCCTCTGGTTCAGCTTAGAGATCTCAGGTGTTATTTGAGGAAAGGGAAGGTTAGGCCTAGAGTGTGGACTTTAAAAAGGCATATTCTATGTGCCTTACTGGTCAAACTTAGAGGAAGGGTTTATTCCAACTTCTGCAGAAACATTTGTTGAGTTGGAGCATGGGAAACTGGAGCCCCAAAGGGACATTACTATGAAGTCTGAGAAGGCAGATTTGTCTTCAAAGTCCTAGTGTATCTCAGGTTTGGTAGGATCTACCACATTTATAAAGATTTCAGACTTGGATGAAAAAGAAGTGTCATTTTGGAAAGCACTTGGGGATTTTTCAGCATGACAGATGCTACTGTGTAAGTGTAAGACTACTACCTCCTTATACACGTGGGTAGCTCTTTTATAAAAAGGTGTTTGACTTACCAAGTTGCTGCAATAAAGTGGAACATGCAGACAAAATACTTGACTGCCCCCACATGCATATTTCGCCCTCATTAAATCTGATTACAGTAAAAATCTTAACTATTCTTTTCTAGAAGAAACACTTTGTGGAATTTGGAATACATGTAAGCCTTTTAGCACATTATTAATCATCAAATCCAAGGATTACTAAGAAAAACATTTGCATTTTATCACTAACTTTTTCTTTTTTGTCCTCTTTTTTTCTCCCTTTCAGGCACAGCTATCTCAGGCTTTAAATGGTGTTTCAGATAAAGCAAAGGAAGCGAAAGAATTTTTGGTTCAGCTGAAAAATTTATTGCAGCAGATCCAGGTAACTGTAGAATACAATCTGTTTTGATAATACAGTAATCAATAGAACTGTGTGAATAATTTATTTGATGACTTTGTTTCCTATGCTATTCTCATATTTCCTGGAATCATCTGACCTTTCTTGAATGGATTTGCTAGGTAAAATTGTTCATCAAATAATGCCTGCAAGCCCCTCTTAGCTTTTAGATTGTTTGATGTTTGTTGCAAAAAGCTGATATTCAATACTGGACATCTGAGCTGTGTTGATTAGTGTTTGATTGAATCCATTAGTCATGCTTCTAGGCTCCTCCCTGACTGCAATTGCTTGAATTCGGCATTTAGGATAAATTCTCATTTTAACACATTCAAAATTTACTGCTAGCTTTTCATCTTACATTTCCTAAAAATGCACCAATTTCTGCAAAAAATCCAGTCAGCCTGCCTATTAGAGTACTTGTAAGAATGTCCTACACATACTCAAAAATACAGGAATATTCTACTAAAAAAAAAGGAACTGCTGCTAAATCAATGTGGCATTTATTGGAGCGTAAGTTATTTTCATGCCTGTAATTGTCCAGATTTAATAGTCAGAAAAAGAGCTCATAGTGAGTGCAGTAATTGAGGGCACAAACCCAAAATGAAACAAGCCTTAATTTCAATCAAATTTAGACTCATCAGTGCTAGAGGTCAGATGATCCTCAAGGTCCTTCTTGCCCTGCAGAGTGTACCTGGAAATGTGCCACTCTAGTTTGAGTGTTCAGGACGGGACACTTGTTTTGTGCTGCACTTCCTCAGAAGTGATGGGATATGCATCACCTGCTCTTCAGTAGCCCACTCTGCTGCTTGCTCATCTTTCATCAATAGGTCCTGCGCTTGTTAGTAACAAAAAACCAAAGCAGAAATACAAAAGGTTTGTTATTCATTAAAGTATTCCTCTTAAAACCCCAGAGGATGAATTTGTACCGCAAGAGATGCCCAAGCTCTTGGGTTGCCTCAGGGCAGCCTAACAACACACCCTCACAGTCTCCCACAGCCACGTGGGGAAGGGAGCACACCAAAATGAGAAACTGGTAAAATTAAAGGACATTTAACTGAAAGAAACCGATGCAAAGCCACTGACTGGCACTGTGCTGTATTTTGGCTATAGTGTGAGGCTTCTCTCAGCTGGCTTAGCCATGTAATAAGTTATGTAGCTCATATAGTTATGTAGTCTACTCATTTAGACTTCTTTCAATGTCCAAGGAGAAAAGACAGGCACCTCTAGAGATTATTTCTTCCTGTAGGTATGAACAGCTGTTTTAGGATGGGATAAACCATCCAAAACAGTAGGCTATCACCAATCTTTCTTGAGTCATCTAGCTCCATTACAAATGTATTTTTCCCTCCTGAAACCTAGAAGTGGCCTATTATGACTGTTTATGACTATGCTGTAAAATCCTTTAATGAGTTTCAATAAAATCACTGCCAAATTGCTCTGCATAAGGGAACTGCTACAATTGGATCAAAAGACCAAGCCATTTATTTGATGCTGTTTGTTACTTAAAATGCTAGAGGAGAGCTCAGAAGAGAAAATTATATCCAGCAGTAGCCTCTAACATTTAGCCAAGTCTGGGCTCAAATTTGAATCTGACCCTCACATGTTGAGCCAATCTTTGTCCTGAGCCTGAGTGAAACATCGAATTTCAGCAAACCAAAACAGCAGGACTAATCAGCTGCATATTATGTGATCATCTTGGATCAAGCTGATCATCTTGGAGCCATGGCCCAGTCTTGTTTTACTTTTCCTAAGTAAAACAAAATTGGGGTAGGGCTCCAAGATGATCACCCACACAATTTAACCCTTAAGGAGCTCCCTGGAATGGTTTTCTCCCGTGACAAATTGCACTCTTCTCATGTGATGTTCAAGCTTTGATGATAGCACATACCAGGGAATGCTCCTGCTAGTCAGGTTTGGTACAGCCACACTCTTCGAGGGGAAAGGGTTTAGATGTGTCATGAGCCAGTCTGTACCTTTTGACATTTGGACAAAAACCAGTTCTTGTACTGTTATTTTGTGGGGGAACAGATATAGCCTTTGTGCGTAGGTTCATAGACAGACATACATATCTCAGAGCAGGTTATTTAGAGTAGAAATCTTATGATGGCTGCCACCCTCACATATGGACATTTACCCCTCAGCAAAAATGTATTTTAGTAATACTTTTACGCAAAAGAGCAAGCAATATGTAGATTTTATTATCCTGTCTCAATGCGCTGCAGACCAGGCATCCATCCACACTCTTTATCTCCTCTCTGAGTTTTCTAGAGCTATCAGGAACTGCCCTTTCATCTTACCTGGGGCAGTTTGCAAATTAGTAATATATTTTTCTTTTCTCTGCTTTGCAGATCTGTTGTTTCCCCATTTTTTTTCCTGCCTTTCTCTTCTCTGAGGTCACTTTTATATCTCTTGGTCTTTTCTTTTCAGATGCCTGTTCCTCATTACTCCTGTTGCTTTCTTCTCCTTGTTGCTGTCATGATCTGATTTTCCTATTTTCCCATCTGCTGTAACAATTTCATACTTTCTCACTTGAAGGAGGCATATCACCAAACACCCCATTTGATGTGTGAGCAGACAATGAGGAGAGAAATGATGCACTACATCCACCAACTGATTCAGGCTCTGTGCACAGCCAGCACTTCAGGAGTAACTTCAGGGGTGGAAATGGGCTGGAGGGGGAGCTGGGTGTGACACAAGCCGAGGAGGGAAGAGATGCAAACAGGAAGAGTCTAAGACAAACCTGTGAGCAGGAACTGAGCCGTCTGGTGTCTCCCCACCCCCAGATAAACCCCTGCCCACATCTCGCCGGCAGGTCCAGGACTGCAGTGGGGGCTCCTCAGGGAACACCAACCCTGCATCTGTCACTGGAGAATGGGATGCACGGGTCACAGTGAGGGAAGGGAGTACAGTGCTGAACATTTTGAACTCAAAATAAAGAAGACAAAGCAAATGAATAGGAAAAAAGAGAAAAGCAAAAGAGCTAAGAGATAGTAGTGAGTTAGGGGAGTACAATGTCTTAGCAAAGAGGTGCTTCTCCTTCAGTACATGCTTGAAATCTTCTCACATTTAATGATTTTTTTTCTTTTTTTAATTGGGGTGTTTGGGAGGAAAGCTGATAGCACACCTAAATATCTCCTTGGAAGAGGAGCTTGAAAATTTTCTCCTTTTAGTCTCATGAGCAGAGGAGGTGAGAGAGTCTTCCTTTGAACGGGTACTACAGAAGCAGTTCCAGGGCTTTATGTAATGCTAAATTGTTCCCAGAGCCTACTAAAGGCTCAGTGTTGTATACCTCATGCTGGTTTCTGCCTAGCAAAGAATTTTACCATAATGTGAATAGAAAGTTGCCTCTTTTTTTAAAAGCTAATCAAGTACATAGCTCCACTGCCAAGTGCTAGCTGTTTTATAAAAAGTACTCGAAGCAATACACAAACCTTAGGGCTTTGTACCTCATTAATTTCCTTGTAATAAGCCAGTAGACCAGATTCTGGTCCATAATTCTGTTCTAATTGCTGTGGTACAGAGCCAGTGATTTCAAAGTTGCTACAGTGGGATAATTAAAACAGATTGGAGCAGAATCCTCTTATGTATGTATGCACTGTATATGTTACATTCAGCATTTACATTATGTTGTACTACATCTGTTGTCAGGAAAGTGCCAGTAAATCATGGTTTTGAATAAGACCATTTGTGGCATGGCATGTTATTGTTTCATTTTCCAGCATGCAGCTATTACTGGTACAGCTGTAATGAAATCAGAATGGCAACAAAAATGCTGAGGGTCTTGAAAGGAAATTTTTTCTGAACAGAAAAGCAGGTATGAACTTTGCAGTTTAAGCTGCAAACTGTGCTGTCTCTGATGGGTGTGACTCTGTCCTTGTTGTAGGAGAATGGGTTGGATTATGAAGCCTGTCTCGTGGCTCAGTGCGATGCTTTGGTTGATGCGTTAACACGGCAAAAGGCAAAACTGCTCACAAAGGTCACCAAGGAACGTGAGCACAAGCTGAAGGTGAGCACTCCTCTCATCAGCTCAGCACAGCTGCTGATAGATACCTGGTGTGGTTTGTCAAGCTCCCCAACCCTTTACACCATGAAATCTCCTAGTGACAAAATTCTAAAGTTCCTTTAGCAGGTTCCAGTTCAGCCATTTAATGGAACTGTGCCTGTGCACATTACATGATGGATATACTTCAGATGTTTGTTGAATCAGGCCATCAGTCTTTATTTATCTGATGGTTTGGGGCAGTCTTTTGAGAGGTGCTTATCAGTGGTTTGGATTTTGGCACCTTCTGCCAAAGTAAAGAGTTGTGATTTTGATATCTCCTCGAATCTTTACATTCAGGTAAGCCACCTCCAGAAATACATGAGCTACTCAAAATATTTTAAAGAATTGCTGTCAATGGAGATGGCAAGAAAAAATCTAAAGTGTTTGAATGAAGTGGCAGTCAAGAAATATTTAACTAGATGCATTTCTTAAAATGCTGATCTTTATGTGATTTGAGGTACTATGGTGCCATTCGCTTTAAAAGTATCTAAGACAGAAGGAAAAAGTGAAATGGATTATCTAACATATCAGTTAACAAAATCAACCTGAGATCAGCATTCAGCTTGCTTAACAAGAGCCAGCACTTTGGACATACTGCTGACAGCACAGCAAACCCTGCAGTTTATTGCTGTCACGAGTTGGCCTACAGTGCTACTAGATCTAGTCCACAGCCATGTGGCAGCAGAATCAAGGCCAAAATCTGGAAAAATGGAATTTCTTAATTCCAGCAATGTGTTCTTAATCAGAGCAGGTTCAATGATAAATTGTGAAGAGAATGTTAGGGTATGATCTGCGAGAAACCACTCCAGCAGTTTGCCTCTAAAGTGAAGGACATCTTAAAAGCTCAGATGCTAGTGAAAGTGTGACTGGAAATGTGATCACTGCAAATGCAGAGATATGTTCTGTGCCCTCTGTGCCCCAAGCAAGCCTAATCTTTGAGAAATTAATCTGCTCTGAAAATTGAGATTCCCTGTGCACAACATTTTGCCAAGCTAATTATCACTATTTACAATACAGAGCAAGTGAGTGAAGCTGATGGAGATACGGCAGTGGCCATATGGCAGCTAAATTAAGCATAGATTTAACACACTTTCCCATTCCTTGTCTCTTCTGAAATAATTTTATACAATTCACTGCAAGCTGAGGCAGTCACAGAACTGTACTGATGTTTGTTTTCCAGGTTGTTTGGGACCAGATAAATCACTGTACACTGAAGCTACGCCAGTCAACAGGGCTGATGGAATACTGCTTAGAGGTTATCAAAGAAAATGATCCCTCTGGGTTTTTACAGGTAATTTTCTTCCTAATGTTCTGGGGCAGAAAAAAAGAAAATACTTTAAACCTAAGTCTAAAAATGTGTGGCTTTGTTAATCAGCCCCTTCCACCTTCAAGGCAGGCTCACCTTAACTCGTGTAAGTACTGTCTAAAAACTCAGAGAGCCTGGTGACTGCATTAGTGTCCCAGCAAAGAGATGGCTTTAACAGCTGCACCCTGTCTGAGGTGGGGAGTTAGTGGTCACACCACTCCCCCAACTCCTGATATCTTTCCTCTTGCCAGCCCTTCCTTCCGGGCTGAGAAAGATGCTATGCAGCTAATAATAGCTTTTTGCAGAGCATTATTTTATTCTCATCTGAGAAACCCAACACAGGGCCTCACAGAGCTCTCTGATTATTTTGGAGAGGTCAGTGACTGAGCAGAGTAGTACTTCTCCCCCTTGTGCTTGTCCCTTTTGCTTTCCCACATAAAAGAGTCCTTTCAGCACCTCCCCTGTAAGGAAATCTAGTCTGAAGGGGCTGCATGTAGCTTTGCTTCGCTGAGATTGTTGCATCAAGACCTGTGGCATCTCCAGGTACCTTTTCTTTGCAAATATGGCCTAGCCAATAATTGCCTTAACTTGCAGGATATTGTTTCTTAGGTGCAAACAGTGAAAATGTCTATTAATGAGACAAAACATAACAGTGTTTTTTCACATAAATTATTTTGCTTAATTTATTCTTATATGTTTATTAATGACTTTATTTTGCCCTAGTAGTTTTGTTGCCTTATTTATTTCCTAAAAAGAAAGGTACACCAAACAAAATTACTTGCACACATGAATGCATAGAGTGTCAGGGGTTTGTCAGAGCATCCCTAAAAAAACAGGATGAGAATTAGCCAACTTAAACCTATTAGCACTCCAGACTGATTGTTACTGTCATGTCTGGTCTCAGGCGAGAGAGGGGAATGTGTGGTGTAGATTAATGTCAAGGTTACACAGATTTTAACAGGCTATTGGTTGGACACTACAGGACAAACAAAACCTTTAGGTCTTACCTACATGCTATCTAGATACATGCTTTACTTTCTTTTCAGCTTATTTTCCCTATAACTTCTGTGGCTTCAGTTTTTGCAGCCCCCGTTATTTAAAAAAAAACACACACCATTTTTGTTTTTACTTTTTCCTGGTATATCTAATGATGCTTTCAAGACAGCGAGCAGACACTCAGGCACTGCATTACTTTGAGCAACTACTCCTGCAGCCAGGTTATTGAGACATGGCCAAGGGATCCAGCATCCCAGTAAGTGACTCTGAGGTTGCAGGCGTTGTGGGATGCTCCTCCACCTACTGCACAGGCTGATTAGGAGCTGTTGATGCAGGGGCTCAGACAGGAGTGTCCTCAATAAAAGTAATGAGGAAAAGTATCCAAATTCCTATTCCTGCAAAAACGGAAAACTCTCTCTGTTATACCCAGAAAAAAATTCTACTCCCTGTGACTTACTGTCAGGGACTCCAGATATCCAAATGGCAGCTTCACTGAACTCAAGGACAGTTGAGTTCATTGATTTCCACAGAGACAGGAGTTAACTTCCTGAAGGGTCTGTTGTGATCATTTTAGTTTGACTTCTGGTCTGATTGTCTGTGGGCTGAGCTAGGGCAAAGCTTTAAAAATTAAATTCAGTTTTGATGTAATGGTAGAAAATCCATCATATATGTGAAAATCCATCTGACAATTTATCACCCTCACTGTGAGTAATATACACCTTCCCTACCATTTTCTTTTTTTAATCCTTTAGCTTTCATCCACTGAATCATCTCTGCTGAATGAAGAGACTCAAACATTTAAACCTCTCTTTGTGCAACTTCTTTTAAAACAGGAGAGCAAAAGTAGACCATGCAGATCAGAGGACAGAGTACAGAATTAAATGTGGCATTCAAAGGCATGATACACAACATAATCTTAACAGGCTTTATAAATGCAGTTTTTACTTTCCTTGCCTAATATGATATTTATTTTGAAAAGACAAGATGAAAGGATGCAACCTAAATGGACCTCACCCCAAAATGACCAGATCCCATCTCATCTGTTTTGCTGCTTTAATCCTGTTTCCTTTGTGCTGGATCTCACAGACATTCTGTCACTCTTAATGTGTGTGTCTGCCATTTCATTATAAACCTGGTATTCTCTTTCAGATTTCAGATGCTTTAATCAAGCGTGTTCAGGTATCTCAGGAACAGTGGGTCAAAGGAGCCTTGGAGCCGAAAGTATCTGCTGAGTTTGACTTGACTCTGGATAGTGAACCTTTACTGCAGTCAATTCACCAGCTGGATTTTATTCAGATGAAATGTAGGGGTGAGCTTCTATGATTTTCCTTTTCCTGTTTTTCATGCATGTGTTGAAACAGTGCTGGGAGGTGTGAGGACACCAAAGGAGGAAAGAGGAATGACTTGAATTTGCTGGATAGTTTTAAAAGGTTTTCAGGCAATTTCAGGTGTTTCCTGGAAAGGTGTGCTCCCCTCACATGTATAATCTTTAAGTGCATCTGGTATTTCTATCTGAACTGAACAAGCTCAGATAGAAATATCAGATGCACTTAAAGATCTGTAAAGATAGCTTCTTCAGAGTAGGACTTTGAAGATTCATAAGACATGAGCTGCATGAAACTTCATGCCATTTTGTAGCATTCCTAGGTTTATGGACATGGTTAATTCAAGATACCAATTACCCCTATCTTGTCAGAAACAACTGAAGTAGAAGACAAATCTTACACACACACATGCTTGAATAAGGGAAAAAAACCCCAGCCTTTGACATTTAACTTCTCTTAATAAAAAAAAAAATCATGAGGAAGAGAGTTACAAGGGGAAAGTACCTCCACGGCTGTACCATTCCATGGTTCCAGGTATCTGGATAATTCTGATGGACAAGCTAGAGGGAACTAAGGTTTAAAATGTATCTAAAAGAAGAAGCTGATAAACAGGACATGTCACTGACATAAAAAAAAGAAAATTAACATAATGAGCTTTTAATAGTTTATGTGGAGCAGGCTGAGAACTGCATCAGAATTAGACAGATCCATAGAAGAGTAGGATTTGAAAGCCATTGTGGTCCCTGGGAATGATGTCATTAGCTTCTCTCAGTGGTGATTCAAGCCTTAATTATACATGTGGGTGACAGGATAGAGGCTGCCAGAAGTCAGCGAATGAGTTAAGGATATTCGTGTAGTGATGTCAGATGTGCTTTTTTTGTTCTGTTTTGAGCAAGCATAAAGAACTTTGTTCCACTTATGTGTTCTCTCTGGGCCTAATTCTGCATCTAAGACACCCAAGATGAAGTAATTAGGGTGGATAATTTGGCGGATATGTGGAGAAACAATGTACAAACAGTTAAAGGCCAGAGTCTGCTCACCAAGAATGCTTTGCATCTTGGCATAAACAGGCTGTGTTAAAGTTATTCAATAAACATCTGTGAACTGCTCCTTTGAAATGTTGTCAGACAGGCAAGTGGAGTCAAAAGAGAAGGAATAACACTGATAAAACTCCTCTGAATGCTGTCTGCATGTGTCTTTTTAAAATCAGTTTATGTTTAATGCTAGCCATGTTTATTGTGAAATATATTTAATGCTAATCTCCCACAACTCTCCTTTACAAACAGGAAAAATTTGGTGAAACTAGTCACATAGATTGCTATTAACCACAGGTTACCTGAGGTGAGAGCAGCTTAGGTATTTGGCTTGTGGACATCCACCTGGTTTTAAGCTTGAAGAGTTACAAAACCTTAATTGAGCCAGATTCACTTGTGCTTTTTGAATTGTAGTGTTATCTGCTACGCTCTCATTTATCATAAGATTGCAGGGAAATCTGGTGCTTAGTTAGACACAATCTGAGGGGCAGAGAAGAAGACAGGACTTTTGCAGCCCAAACCTGTGCAGAGCTTCCAAACACCCTTGGACTTTGTTCCCCAGAGGCAGGGTTAGCCCTCAGAAAGGGCTTTTGCTTGAGCTGTCTTGGTCCTGACCAGGATTGTCTGGTTGTCCCATCAGGTTGGTCAGCACAACCAGTGTGATCATGCACACACCGTGCAAAGAATAGTGGAAAGGGTGTTAACCTGACCACCATTCCTTAAGGTGCTTAAGGGATGGCATTACTCCCCTTCACACCTCTGTGTGCCCAAGCAGAACAAGCCACTGACCAGTTCCAAACTAGCAATGGTAGGTATTGGGGAGTGTTTAGTATACAGACATGTATTTATCTTTCTTCATTTACAACAGCAAGTCTATTTCCATTCGAACTTCTCAGTCTGGCACTTTGGCCTTTTTTTTTTCTGACACTTTATTCTATGACCTCAACCAACTCTGCATTATTTAAGAATCATAAAATGGTCTGGGTTGGAAGGGAACCTTAGGGATCATCTAGTCCCAACCCCTCTCACAGGAAGGGTCACTTTTCACTGGATCAGGTTGCTCAGAGATCCATCCTGCCTGGCCTTGAACACTTCTAGGAAAGGGGCATCCACAGCTTCCCTGGGCACCCTGTTCCAGTGCCACACCATCCTCACAGTAAAGACTTTCCTCCTAATATCTCATCTAAACCCTCTCTCTTTCAGTTTGAAGCCATCCTCCCTTGTCCCATTACTAGATGCCCTTGTGGAAATTCCCTCTCCAGCTCTCTAGTAGCCCCCTTTAGGTACTGGAAGGCCACAATATGGTCTCCCTGGAGTCTTCTGCAGGCTGAGCAACCCCAGCTCTCTCAGCCTGTCTTCATTGGAGATATGCTCCAGCCCTCTGATCACCTTTGTAGCCCTTTTCCAGACCTACTCCAAGTGCTCCATGTCCTTCTTATGTTGGGGGCCCTGGAGATGGACACAGTACATGAAGCCATTGACCATACAGTTTCAGTGCAGCCATCCAGCCAATTCCTTATCAGCTGAGAGGTCCATCCATTAAAATTCTTGTCTCTTCATTTTAGAGACAGGGATGTCATGTGGGACAGTGTCAAATGCTTTGCACAAGTCCAGGTAGGTGACACCAGATCATCTTCTCTCATCTGCCACTGTTGTTATTCTGTCATAGAGGGCCACCAAATTTGCCAGGCATGATTTGGCCTTCTTCAGATGCACAATTTGCATTTTCTCATGCAGAGTGGTCTTGCATCTAGAAATACAGGTATCACAGAGTAACCAACTCAGCATTTCAGGAGTAAGTGCCCAAACTGATTGGGAACATCCCTTTGCTGACTGTAAGGAGAAGCTCCACTGTCATGGTGGTGTTTTGCTGTTTATCACCATGAGCACTGGAATAGATTGCCCAGAGAGGTTGTGGTATCTCCCTCACTGGAGATATTCAAGAACTGTAGGGGCACAGTCCTGTGCCATGTGCTCCAGGATGTCACTTGAGCAAGGAAGTTGGACCAGATGACTCCCTGTGGTCCCTTCCAAACTAACCAATCATACAATATGTGAATCTGTGACTTACATATTTCTGAGCATCCAGTTTCACAAAGAAAAAATGTGTATGTTGCTTCACATCTGCCCCTCTTTCTTCAATCCTACCTATGCCAGCACACAAAGTCATCAGTCTTTGCCAAAAATTGGTGTTGAGGTGAGTGTTATGCAGTCATTTTACTGGTTGATCTGACAAGAGCAGATGCTTTAAAGATGTCAATGATCTGTAAAGGAAGTTTTGGGGAGATCTAGGAGAACAGGGCAAGCATGGCTTTTCCACCTGTAAATTGTTTTGGTTTTTTTTTCCAAAAGCTTTGCAATGTAATACTGTATTAATGTTATCAGTGCTTAGTACATGACTGAATTTCTTTTTTTTTTTTTCAAACTCTGGCCTCATTCAACCTCATTGAGCTTGCATGGGTCATTTAGAGTGAAAGCATGCTTGTAAGTAAACATTGATTCACTGTGTTAGACAAAGAATGAAAATGAGAACAAATCACTTTGCATTTGCTTTGATGACATGTTCATTTACATTACTGATGCATTCTCTATAAGCACAGATCTAAAGCTCATCTAAAAAATAAAGATCATAGGGTTCTTTTTCTTTTTTACAGAAAGAAGAAGCAATCTGAGAGCAAATTAAATGTGCAGAGATGTGATAGGTGTAGAAGTAATGCTTAGGCAGTCATGTTGATCAAAGGGTCTCACTGAGTCCCACACTCGCTGGGCCAGCTGACCTGAGAGACACTCACACAGCTCTAGTAGTTGCTGGCATTTTGAGCTTTCCCAGATAATTTTCTCTGTTCATGTTTTCTTCTCTCTGTTGCTTTTACAGAGTACCTTGTCACAAAATTCCTGTCCTCTGATGCCTGGCTTAATGTGTACTTCACATATTCTCCGTTAGAGCTATTGGCACAGGCAAATGCACATTCTGGGTCTGTTTTGTTCACACAGCTGTAACTGGCATGCAGTCTTCATTGGTTGAAAAACTGGACTAGATACAAAAGAGGAAAATATATAGCTACTCTACTTTTCTGTACCACCTCTGAACATTCATTCATATACCCCTTATACCTCCTTATCCTGAGTGACTCCTTCCCTCTTCTGCAAACCATGAAGATTCCCCAGACATGTCTGCCACAAATCTCTGCTTCTCCAGGTATAAGTGTATGCCCTGATAATTAAAGGACAGCTGTTTCATCTTAAGCTTTACCTCGGTTTTTTTCTGCTCTGTGTCATGCATTCAGCTCCTTGTGGTCTCTCCTTCTCTCCTAACACTGTTTGTAAGGCACTTGCTACAGCAGTGACTCAAGATATTCCAGGGCTGTACTGCAGTTTTGGAGGAAGTCACAGTTTTCCTGTTTCTGGGGGATCCCATTCTGTTGGTGCATTTAGTCCTTTAAAAACTAGTCTGGGAAGGTGGACGACGTCATTGCACCACTTGCTTGTCAGGAGGACAAAAGACAACATCTTAGAGCAGCCCTACTGTACCCTCTGAGGGGACTGATCAACCATGAGATGCATTGAGCAATGTGTTTTGGGAACTACTCCTTTGACAAGAGACATTAGTCAGTGTCACATTTCTTATCAAAGAGTGACCTGCATGAAGCACTTTTAAAATTGCAGGACATCGTTCAGACTCACTAATAAGTCCCGCTGCACCAATGCAGTATAATTTCTCCCTTTATATTTTTAATATTTTCCTTCCATAAGATCTCTTGAGAACTTTAAATTGGTCAAGAAGTGGGACAGAACTGTAATTTAACATCTGAGTCTTTTTTTTATCCTGGCACTTAGCCTATATTTTTTCTTTCCTTAGTCCTATTCCATTGCTTTTTGCTGTGAAGTATACAGTGGTATCCTGATTATTCAACTCACTTCACACTTTTCTATGATTGTGCTCATCTTTTCTCCTCACATGGGGAATTTGAGATCAAATTCCACATCCAGTGGAGGAAGCAGGAGGTCAGACACAGAGAGCATCATGCAGCAATGCTGCACAGCTGCTTGGCAGGAGCCTCTTGCCTCTCCTTCAGGAGAGTTGTGCAGTTCAGGCCACAGGCTGGATCAAAGAGAGCAGGAGGCTGATATGGATTACCCACAAAATGTGAGACTCTCACACATTGAGCCAAAATTCACCCTTCCCCTGGGAAGTGCGACCAACAGCACTCTACTGGATGAAAATATATTTTATTCCTAGGCAGCATTCCTGTTTACATAGTTAAGGGGAAATTGTAAAACACATACCCTCCCACAAAAACTCTGCTTTTTTCAGCAGTTTTAAATGAACAGTTCTTGGAAGCCTCCTATCAGTGTTCCTAGGAGTTATGAGGTTTTTTTCAGAGGTTGAAAAGGTTAGTGGTTTATTCAGATGTGAAGGGACATTAACTGTTTTGCATCTTAGAAACTGCAGAAATTAGGTTTTCAGCCAGTCTTGCCAGGAGGAGTCTCAGAAATGGGGAGGATCAGAAAAATGCCTCCTGAGAGGGTTAACCAGCTAGCAAAAGTGTCAGGAGTGTGGATGGCTCATAGAGCCCTATCTTCTCCCAGGCTCGTCAGTCAGCAGGAATACATAGGTTAACAAACACAGACAAAACTCTAAACTTAAAATGGTTCACCTAAGAAATCCCATTGCTCTGAATTCCTCATTTTCAGGTTTTTGACTCTTGTCACATTTCTGTGACTTCTCCAGACACAGTGTCTCCTGGAGGAAAGTCTGAACTTTCCATGTGAGAAAACAAGCAGGTTTTTATTTATGACACCCTCTGAATCATCCTTAAATATCAAGGATAGGAACAAGGCTTCCTTTTCACAGAAAAACCTTCAAGAGCTAATTTATAAAGCTCCTTTGTTTCATTCTTCTGGGCTACCAACCATCTGCGTTCACTGTGGTGATGGATAATGCCAGCGGAAAGCCGTGGTAGCTTCTGTGCTGTTTATCACAAGTGTGATGTTGACTTTCGAGTCACTTCCAAAGTGGGGGTGAAGCCTCAGCCCTGTCACACAGTAGCATCCATTTTCCCACAGTCTGCTTGGTACACAGAACATGAACCTCTTTTATCCAGAAACATAAAATAGGACGAAAGGAACAGCTCAAGGGCTTAGCTCTCACACAGACAGAAGGAGGAAAATAAACTAGAGGGTCAAAGCAGAGTAGATAAAAGAAGAGCAAACCGATATTATTAAACCAGTGAATTCTCAGAGCACTCAGTTTCTTCTAAGACATGATAGAGCTCTCAGCAGAAAAGATATTGAGATATTGAATGGTAAAATTTAGCCTTGGGCAGAAGACCAGGCAGGCTTTGTGCATCACTTGCATTCTACTTAACCTATATGGTTTCAACAGTGCATAAGATGCATATCAGGTCTATCCAGGAGACTAAATTTTCACTTTATAATTGCCAGCAAAGAGTGAACAGTGAGAGTTTAGTTTTGTTTAGGAGAGGTTGGATTGAGGTGTCTTTCCCACAGAGACACAGCTGAATATTTTACTCTGTTTCTTTTTATTTTTAAGATGCTGGTCTGGTAAACAGTCTCTTGGTGTTTCTTCTAAGCAAGTGACTGAAAAGGCATGTTGGTAGAAAAATTTGCATTTGTAATTTCCATGAGGAGTCTCCTGTGATGCAGAAGTTCGTTTTGCTACCCGAACCATGGGATTTAGATAAAGTTTGCAAACAGAACAATTTGCTTCAACAGTTTATTTTAAGCATGGTTGCCGTAAAGATAACACATCCAAGGTGTCTTTGATAAAAAACTAGGCGGAGAGGGAGGGGTAGTAAATCAGATTTTTAAAACCCCCCACAATGGTAGTGAGGAATTGTTTTCCTGCTTTTGGTGGAGTTCAGGCTGTCTCTCAGCTGTGCTGGGAGAAGTGGCTGCTCTGCTTGTTAACCCAATTCTTTGTTAATGCACTGGGTTCCCTGGCAGCATTGCCTCTGCCACCCTATGGCCTGAGACACCCCCTGCCCCTCCTTTTGGGGACAGTGGGTGCTCTGGTGTGAAAAATAATTCTTCCAGACAGTGACTCCTGGAAAGGAAACCACACATGGATTCCCCAGACTCTATTTCTTACATGACAATCAAGTCCAGATATGTTTCTGTCTACATGTTTCAGTGAAATGATTTGTCTAACTGGGTAACAACATTTTGTTATGTAATTTTACTGCCTTTTGTTTGTTGGGAAGAGAATAGACTCTCTTCCTAGCAAACACTGGCTCCCCTGCGAGGGGAAGGAGGTAAAGGAGCAGTTGCCCTAGTGCTCACAGCACAGACTAATGGGGTCAGGCAGAGTTACACTAACCTGTACCCAGTTCCTGTTTCAGTGCCACCCGTTCCATTACTGCAGCTGGAGAAGTGTTGCACCAGGAACAACAGTGTGACATTGGCCTGGAGGATGCCACCTTTGAGCCACAACCCAGTGGAGGGCTACATCTTGGAACTTGATGATGGAGACGGTGGCCAATTCCGAGTGAGAATTTCATTCAGCATTTATTTGTGTTTCTTTGTATGTGAGTTTCCTCCAGATATGAATTTGTTTCTGTCTGAGGGTGGAGAGAGGGGTAGGGAAGATTAGGTTGTCAGAACATCCCTAACTCCATTGTGCTGGTGGAGAAAGCAATGCAGATCCTGCTTAATAGAAGGACCACTGGCCTAGGTAGGAAGTTTGTTTAAGGTTGTTCTCAGGACTCTGGGAAAGAGGGCCTTGAGGTATGCCCAGTGCATTCCAGAATAGAAAATTCCGTATGAGCCTGCTGAATATGAGAAGCTGGAAGTGGTTCATTGCACAAACCAGAAATTGCTTTGAAGCCCTTACTCTCATGTGTCCATTGCACCCTGTTTCAACAGCTGACATTCTAGGTCCAGAAATGCAACTCAGTCTTTCCTAATTTTCTGAGTAAAAATATGATGCTGCATAAAAATACAGGGTTTCTAAATCTTTCTCCCGGGAGGCCAGGCTGGTGGAAACTTTTTCCACTGTCATGCTGTGATGGAATTGATAAATGTAGAAAGGCTTCCCAAGTGCTGTCCTTCCAGATCCTCTGGGTGATGCCGCAATGTGATGCTCCTGGTTGCAGGTGCAGGGTGCTTATGGGCTCCCATACTTTTTTGACACATCCTGATGAATGAACTAGAGAAGCAATTCAATCAGCTTTCTTCCAGCCATATCCTTCTAGAAGCTGTGGCCCTTCTACCTCAGGCAGGCTTCATGCTCATCTTGCTGGGGACCAGGCTGGCCCATTGCTTTCCCTAGAGGCTGGTGTCTTGAAAGCATCTAGACATCATTGTGGAGTACAGCTGCTCCCTTCACAAACAGGGAATTTTGCCAAAAAACTGTGATGGCATTTATCTGGGAGCTGCAAACTGGCTCCTCCCTGGAAACCTAAAGAGTTCTCAAGCTGAAAATGTCCTGGCATGGATCCACCTAAGAATTTGCCAAACCACTACACCCATAGCCAGCAAAAGTGCCTGATTTGGACTCCCCTCATCAGAAGAGGCAGCAATATTGGCAGGGCATTTTAGAGGACGTTGTGGTTTTTGTAGGGTGTCCTCACTTCCTTGGTCCATGCAACATTTCACAGGGATTTGAAGAGCCTGGTTTCCACTACTGAAAGTGTGAAAAGGTACTTTTGTGAATGGCTGCTGAGAGCTGCCAATATAGTCAATGTTAGTAGGTAAGAGGGTTATCAGTGTGTGATGAATGAAGAGTTAAAATAAAGTGTTAGAATTCCAGTATCTTTTATCCAGTTTATCCAGGATAAACCTTTTAAAGTGGTATTCATGTCTTGTGAATAACAACATTTCGGGCTGGTGTGTATCCAAGCTCATCTGTGTGGGCGTTTATCCAGGATAAACCTTTTAAAGTGGTATTCATGTCTTGTGAATAACAACATTTCGAGCTGGTGCTATCCAAGCTCATCTGTGTGGGTGAGTTTTGGTACTGCCAAAGGTTTTAGGACTGGCAGCAACATCATGTTAAGGTTTTGGATTGAAAAAGGTACAAACCCATCTCAATTCTTAAAAATGTGAGGTGATAACTTCTAAGGGGAATGTTCTGCTTGCTGAAGTAGAAACATCCTTGGTTTTACCCATTAAAAGATAAAAAGCAGGCTTCGCAGCAGTGCCATTCCAATTAGGGTCTGCTGACCTTTTAAATGGAGAACTCTATATCTGAAAGCAAAGACATTGACTGCAATTTATCAGTATTTGATGGGTGGATCTAAAGAACATCTTTGTTGAAGCAGAGACCATCAACCTGCATAAACCAAAGCAGTGAACAGTGGTAAGAATGAAGTGGATTAGAAAATGTGAGAATTGTTCAACGAATACAAAATTTTTTTCACAGTCAGCATATCTTATGACATGGAGGTAAACTAACTTATTACATTAAAACTCTTCTTTGTCTCCATGAACGATCACCAGCTAACTCAGGACCCGTGAGATTTTGTTGTTTGTAGCAGCCACCATAGTAGCAAAAAGGACAAACATATGTCCTGCTGTAAACTTAATCAATTCCTTTCTTACTCATCACATCCTTTTGAGTTTATATGAAAGAGCCTTAACCATCAGAACTATTCCTAGGCATTACTAAAGTCTTACTAAACTGGGATCTGAGGGGTTTGCTTAGTGACAGATTCAAGCACTTTGGTGCCTTTGCTGCCATAAACCAACAGATTTCACAGAATTAGAGAAATCAGAGGTGGAAAGGAATTCTCTTTCAGCCTGCTGCCAAAACAGGCTTTTCTAGGCTTCTTTCAATTCATCGTAGCCTGTATAATCTAATCCTCTTCATTGGTCTGCCTAGATATTCCTCCCTCTGAAATATTTCACATTTCAGAAGTACTCGCTGCATGATTGGTATTTGAAGACGTTTTTGATGTCTCTTTGTCTAGATACTGTTTCATCATATGGTGCATGTAATCCTAACTTTTAGGAGTTAATTTTCTTCTGGATCTGTGTTTTAGGTTTCAAAATTATATTTTAACCTAGGCATAAGAAAGCCTTTCTAACAGAACAAAAGTGCTCTTGTTTTTTTTATTCTTATATGCCCACTTTTTTGTCTTACATAAAATAGTGGCCACAGTGTGTCAGATACAGGAACTACTCTCCAAAATAGTGATTTGGAGTAGATATTTGGGGTAAGAGGAGCATGGAGATCTTTTTGTGTTGCCCTTTATTGCTCTACCCTTCATCTTCACCTTAGTTTGTCCAGTGCTGACCATCCTTGATGTCTCACATGCTGTGGCTGTTTGTATAACTCATTCATCCTGGGAAGCAAAGAGAAACTGTTCACTTTTGGCTTATATTTAGAAGTCTTAACTATGTTAAACCATGTCCCTCGTTGTCTCTCTCCCCCCCCTCTCTTTTTCTCTCTGGTCGTTTTTGGAATGTTTAGGAAGTATATGTTGGCAAGGAGACCCTCTGCACCATCGATGGCCTTCATTTCAACAGCACTTACAATGCCAGAGTCAAAGCTTTCAACTCCTCAGGCGTTGGTCCTTACAGCAAGACAGTAATTTTACAGACGTCGGATGGTGAGCTGGGGGTTTGCCACTTTCTAAATGAATAGCTGCAGGTCTCAGTGGCAGGACACTTTCCTCCCTTTACACCCATTAATGTATTTGACACCTACTGGCATTTTCCATTATCAGTAACACTTCAGGCTTCAAGTTGTGTGATTTTAGTTGGCTGTAAAGGTCTAGGGATCTAACTAAGAGACTTTCTTTATCGTACAGAAGCAGTTATGCAATTCATGGGATATTTTTTGTTCCACTCTGTCTCCCTTTCTACATACATCTTTGGGATTTGCCTTTTTCTTCACTACTGCTTCAATTTCCCTGCAAGGTTTGATAATACAGAGATGGGAACTCATGCTTGTTTCTCTGTAATTATACTGACCTTCATACAGACGTTACAGGAAGTTCATCTTCATTAATGATATTGTAATGAATTGAGAAGTGCATGTTATTATCACTTCCACTTTTATGCTGTGTTGCCAAAATAGGCCAGTATAAAATATTTATGCTTTAAGAGCTTTTGGGCCCTTTTTTTCCTTTTTTTAAAAAAAAAACCTTCACTTTGATAAACTAGTGAAGTCAATCCTAACCACAGTATAAAATATTTATGCTTTAAGAGCTTTTGGGCCCTTTTTTTCCTTTTTTAAAAAAAACCCCTTCACTTTGATAAACTAGTGAAGTCAGTCCTAACCATCACGGACACAGCTAATCTCCATTTTCATTAAAGGTGATCCAGAACCAATTCATTGACATGAGCAGTTTCCATGTCATGGAGCAGCCTTTGTCTCCTCAGTGACTCTCTTGTTACTGTGTGTGGACAGAATGTCACTACCCTTAGCAGCTAAATTTCAGGGGAACAAGTGCAAATGATGTAAAGCATTTCTGAGCTGAGGAACAGCAGGGCACCAGCTCAGATTAATCTTGTGTATCTGCCTACAGTAAGGAAAGAGGGTCTTTATTGCCTCAGAGTACAGCGGGGTCCTTACAAAGGCACAGTGTTGTCCTTACTGAAGTTAAGCAGACAACACATGGACACAGCCCCTCCTGATCTAATCCTACCTTTCCTTTTCCCATTCCACAGTGGCATGGTTCACCTTTGACCCCTCCTCAGCTCACAGAGACATAGTGCTGTCGAATGACAACCAGACTGCCACCTGCAACAGCTACGATGACCGCGTGGTCCTGGGCACCGCCGCCTTCTCCAAGGGCGTGCATTACTGGGAGCTTCACGTGGACCGCTACGACAACCACCCGGACCCAGCCTTTGGCATTGCCAGGATTAACGTGGTCAAGGACATGATGCTGGGCAAGGATGACAAGGCATGGGCCATGTATGTGGACAACAACCGCAGCTGGTTCATGCACTGCAATTCCCACACCAATCGGTGAGTGCTGCCTGGGGGCTTTTCTCCTCACAGACAGTTCTGCTCTGCATCAGAGGCAGGTGTCTCAGCAAGCCATCCAGTCCAGCTCCCAAATAAATGTACTTATTTTATTCCTTCTTAAAAATCACTAGTGACGGTGATTGCACCTTAACAGTCTATGTTGGTGTTTATACTCACTGTTATCAGTTCTTCCCTTAATTCTTGCCTAAATCCCCCCTGCTGTGATTTAAACCCATTATTGCATGTCCCACCCACATCAGCAGACAGGGACACAGCGCAATGGGATGCAGCACTTCTCTTATTGCTGGAGGGAGAAAGAGGGTTGATTCTTTTCCTTAGGAGGAATCTTGACTGCAGATTGTAGGATAATTAGGCTGCAGGTGTTTGTTTCCAGTTCTGACATCTATTAAGGGTTTTGCTGTAGGTCACGCTGAGGCAGATCTGGGTACAAGGGACTGTTTGGCAGTGAGGGCTAAGTGACAGCTTTCATTCTACTGAGCCATTGTACTGAAGAGCTTTGAAAAGCCCCTCAACTGGTACAACCAGCTTAGACAGAGGAAGATTTCAGAATGCCCCCAAGCCACTGTTACCAAGACTCTCTCTCCCACCACTCAGAGGCTCTGTGTTCTCAATGCAACTGAGCAGTGGAGAGACATGTTCTAGCTGCAGGTACCTCCAGGGATGAATCACACAGAGAGAACAACTGTCAGCACAGATCCTGGGTTGTGTTGACACAGTTGCATGACTTTTGGAGCTCAGGATAGTCACTTCTGCCTGGGGCTGGCTTCTGTTTCATTGAAGTGATGCCAGACTGTGCAGGGGACACATGGTTAACTTTGCTTGAAGGTATCAGAGCAAAACTGCGCTGCTCTCTCTTTGTGTCCCATGAGAGGGTCAGCCTTAGCTGAAGGTCAGCTGGGTACTGAGACCCTTGAGAAGATCTCCTCTGAAAAGAATCTGAAATCCCTTGCTTATTTTGGAAAATGGTGTATTCATATACCATATAGCTCACAATGGGAGATTGATGTATAGGTGACTGACTAAGGATATGTAGCAGGTCTGTGGCAGAGATGGAATCAACTTCTGTTTAGTTTTCTACTGACTGTCCCACCAGACTCTCACTGTCTCAGGTGTTTTTTCTGTAATACCAGATGATTAAAACAAAGTTTCACAGTGCTTTTAAAAACACTGAAATGCAGGTGTCTCCATAAAGCAATAAGATTGTATCAGCATGCACTGTATCCAAAGGTTGATTATAATGTCTCCCATTGAATTGTGATTTATGCTTTACAGCATACCTGTGCTTTAAGAAAGTACACTGCAATTGCTGGGAATTTTTGTTTGAATCATGGTTTGATTTTGCAGTTCATTACAGACAGGTGGAAGGACCTTGTAGCTGGATCAAAAGCTATCTGAAGTCACTTGGATTGTTCTCCATGGGTCCAAAGACCTTAGATAATGTTCTAAAACAATACAGAGTAAAATAACATCAGTAAAATAAATATACCAAAAAGTTCTCTGTCCCTTTAACATCTTGATTCGATTCAGGGCGGAAGTAATGTTAAGCTGTATTAATTTTAATGCTCTGTGGAACAGCTTATGTTTTCTGGAAAAAAGCTGGCAACCATTCTGTACACCACTGTCCCAGAAACCTATTTTATGGATTTGGTCCTCGGCATGCTCCTCCCGGCAAGCAACACACAAGCTAAGCAAAAGCTTTTTTCTGGAAAACACAAACAATGGAAACACTTAGGATTTCCAATCATCCTGCTTAATCAAGAGAACAAAGTGCTTTCTGTTGATGATAGTTTTCCGGTTTTTACCTGATAAAACACAAAGGCATGTGCAAGGCATGGATAGACCCATGGAATATCTGTTCAAAGGAAGTACACTTGCAAAGGGCATGTAGTCTTATGAAATCACATGCGCTTCAATGAAATTAGGTCTAGGCATTATATTTTTAACTGTGACAGTCAACTAGGTCAGTTTTTTAACTCATTAGCTGTAATAGTCTTGTGGAAACAGTTATTGCTGCCTATTTGTTTTTCCCCACTGGACACGTGTGCATGACAGCACAGTGTCACAATCCAAAGTGAATTAATTGTCAACTTTTAGCCTCTGGGATGTTGTTATGATGAAAATTACACCTTAGTAATGATTTCTTGCTTCCTAATCTTCATGAGAATAAATTAGGGTAATTAATAAATGACTAGTTTCAAGGATATCCTGAGATAGAGCTTGAAAGACTAATATGTGTGACCTGTCACATTTAGATGACTTTTCTGTTCCTTTCACTCACAGCATGCAAAATTCAATCTAGCATGACTTCTGTAATGCTGGAAGGGGCATGAAGGAGACTCTAACGCATCCAGGAACAGAGGGATCCTTTTGAGAACAGGTTGAAGAAACTGGTTAAGAAAATACTTTAGGGCAGAGATACAGGTTTTGGAGTCACCTTTAAGTCTTGTTGTTCCGAGAAATCTGAGCCTGGCAAAATCATGGAACAGATCCTTAGGTATGCTAAGGCACATGGAGGACAGGGAGATAATTGAAGACAGTGAGCATGGCTTTACCCAGGGCAAGTCCTTCTGTGATGGAGTGACTACAGCAGTGGACAAGGGAAGAGCTATGGGCAACATCCCTCTGCACTTCTTGATATGGTCCCCCACAAAATCCTTCTCTCCAAAGTGGAGACACATGGATTTGATGGATATCTGATGGATAAGGAAATGGTTGGATAGTCACATCCGGAGGGTAGTGGTCAACAGCTAGATGTTCAGATGGAGGCTGAACAAGTGGTGTCCCTCAGGGGTCCATACTGGGGCCAGTTCTATTTATTGTCTTCATCAATGTCATAAAGAGTGGGATCAAGTGCACCCTCAGCAAGGTCACAGATGACACCAAGCTGAGTGGTGTGGTTGACACACCTGAAGGACAAGATGCCACCTGGAGGGACCTGGACAAGTTCAAGAAGTGGGGCCATGGGAACCTCATGGGCTTCAACAAAGCAAAGTGCAGAGTGCTGCATGTGGTTCGGGGCAGGATGGAGGATGAAGGAACTGACAGCACCCCTGCCAAGAAGGACTTGGGGATATTGGTGTCTGAGAGGTTGGTCATGGTCTGTCAGCGTGCACGTGCAGCCCAGAAGGACTACTGTATCCTGGGCAAAAATTGTCAGAGGGATGGAACATTGCTCCTTTGAAGGAAGGCTGAGAGAGATGGGGATGCTCAGCCTGGAGATGAGAAAGCTCCAGGGAGACCTGATTGTGGTCTTTCAGTACTTGGAGGGGGTTTATAAGAAAGTTGGGGACAGTCTTGGTTGTTCTAGGTTGTTGTTCTAGGACAAGGGGAGATAGTTTTGAACTGAAAGAAGATAAATTCAGACTAGCTATAAGGAAGACATTTTTTTACAATGAGGGTGGTGAAACACTGTAACTGGTTGCTCAGATAGGTTGTGGATGCCCCATCCCTAGAAACATTGAAGGTCAGATTGGGTGGGCTTCTAAGCAGTTTGACCTAATTGAAGATGTCCCTGCTCTTTGCAGGGGGGTTGGACTAGATGACCTTTAAAGGTCCCTTCCAGTCCAGACTGTTCTGAGAGGTGCTGTATGCCATTAACAAGAGGCACTGACATTCAATGCAATAGATCTGTTCCTTGGCAGAGTTCCCAAGAGCAGGACTGCCAGGTGCTACAGGCAATACTCCAGCCACTACATGTCTATGGAAAGAAGGAGATGTAAATCTCCTTGAAATATTTTATACTGAAATATTTTATACTGAAAAACAACAGAAAGTTGAAATCTAGAGTATTTGCATTTTAGTCTTAAAAGTCAGGAGAGTCTCTTCATTGACTTCAGATACCCCAAGAGCAGGTTTTTTCATCACACAAAAATGCTACAACTGAATGAAAAGTGCTATCATTGGCAATAGATATCATAAAGTTTTTAAGATGCTGTAAAGTTAACACTTAAAATATTGTAATGGAGAGTTGAAATAATTATTCAGTTTATTAAATTGTTCACAAATTGTTAATATTTCTTTTTAAATAACAGTGAAACTGCTCTTCTTAATTTCTCAAGCCAGTTCAGGCAGTCATATTCTGCACATTGTCCAAGCTATTAGTGAAGGCATCTTGGAATAACAGCCTCTACTTGCACAGGCAACTGCATTTTTCATGGTAGCCAAATTTCCCTTTCTGTACTCTGACCTTCCAGGCTTCTGCACAGCACTTCTACACTCAGGACTTAGTGTTGCACACAGAAATCAAAATGTTCAAATTATTTACTTGAAAAATTGAAACAGTGTTGCCTATCTCCAGAATTGAATTGTCCTTTAATAAATACTAAGTATTTATTAAGGGATCATTGCAACAAAAAAGTTGTATTTTCCTTTTGCATGAAAGGTTACTGGGTTGTGGGGTATAAGTTTCATTAAGTAGCTTAAAAATGCAATACAGTGAAGGAGCAGTTTTTTTACATGGTGCCACGGAAGTGTACCAGGAGGGACCAACATCACTTTGAGTCTCTTGAGCTATTTAGCTTTTTTACCACAACAAAAGCATTTATTAGAAAAATTATGCTGTAATGCTGTCTAAATGGCGTACATAAGAGTGAGGAAACATATTGCATAAGTTTTCTCATAAAACAGACTCTCCCAGCTAGAAAAGAACCAGGAAAATAGTCTAAAAAGTGCTGGAGTCCTCAAAGTACTGTTCCCAAGGAAACATGGGATGCTGAGTAAGAGCAGTTGTTCAGCCCTGGAAGAAGTCCAGCCTCCCTTGTAGCAGTGTGGTGAAGAGCTCCTGCCTGCTTCTGTCCTCCCTAAGTGCTGCCAGAGCCAGTTTCTCACTGTGGGGAGATGGCAGAGTAGGAATGGGGCAATCTACCTGCTGAATTCCTGCAGAACTTGGGGCAGGAATAAAGGGAGAAGGTCCCCATCCTTCTGCTCTGCCCCCACACCCCTGTGGCTCGTGTAGGGGCCTCATCTGGGTCCTGCCCTTGCCTGGCTGGAGTCTGCAGGCAGAATCTATCTCCTCTTAAGTGGGGCTGTCCCTGGGGGTTGCAGAGGAGTCACTCAGTGTCACTGAGCAGCACACAGCTAGTTAGCCCACGAGAAACAAATTAGCTTGTCATATAGGAAAGAACATCATAATCTCAAAAAAAGCGAAGTTGCTGTTTCTGTTTCCCTAGGAAAATCCACGCCATTTAAAAGGATGAAATAAAATCTCTTTTAAGCAGGATCTAAAGTGTGGTGTCACACAATCAAGGTTGTTCCTAAGCAGAGAAAAAAAAAGTAATCTACTTGTAAATAGCTCCAAATCATAGTACTGTTACTTCCCACAATCTCATAGTGAGTTTTATGATTGAGGGCTTTTAATAAAAACTGTCTATATAGTGAGATACTCAGGGTAGGTAAGCATCTTCAGTTTTGATGGAAAACAATTTATTTTTTGGTTTTGGAGAAGAGATCAGAGAGAAACCTATTAATGCTTATAGGATCAGAAATCAAATCAAAGGCATCTGAAAACTGTGAATTTTCACATCTAACACCTCTCAGAGTCAATCCATGACTCTTATCTATACTATTATTGCTTGAAGAGCTTTAAATGGAGAAATCAGAACAGTTTTCTATAATCTACCTTAAGATGAAATGCCACGTACCACATTTAGTCTAAAGGAAAACAGTTTGTGACACCTAGTGGACAAGAGGAAAATTTCTTACTCTGCACTACATTCTTCCTAATCACATTCCAATCGCCCCCTCCTTTTAATTTTTTTTTATGTTTTGCCTACCTATTGTGATAAATTTTGTGATAAAGTACCATTAATCTTGTGAATGTTGTGTGCCTGAGGCGAGTGCATGGGACAAAAGACAGCTGCTTCCTTTCCTACTGCAAATTATTTGAAATCTGATTTACCCTGAACAAATTGTGTCAGGCTGTGAGTCCATCATGGAGCCCCATGATACCAGCAGAATAGCAGTGCCTGTGGCCAGTCTGCATATCTAGTGGGTATTTTTGCTCAGTGTCCTTTAAAGTAATACTGAGTTTGACTAACCCCCAAGCCAAAGTGCATTAATGTCAAATCGCTCAAGCGTGTAATGGCTGGCTGAGCGTGTCGTGGCAAGCTCTGACACTGCAGTAGCTCTCAGCAGCTGCTCCTGACACAACCAATTATCACTGGTATTAATAACTGTGCCTCACACTTGAGAGGCTCCCAGTCCAATAGCTGGGCACCTTGTCAATCAGAAGCTACACTTAGGCCTACCAGTCCCAGCTTTCCTTCCTCCCCAAAACCACTGTCTGTTGTACCTGTGCTGGCTCCCTGGACTCTGGAAATCTGGGTTCCCTTAGAGCATGCCAAGGTGAGTAGTTGAGCTGGAAGTCTCTCTCCGGAGCTGTTAGCGGGAATATTGATTAGAAATGAACACCTAGCAAAACAGCTTCCTGCTTTTTCATTTCCTGCCATACATCACTTCACTGTAAGAGGGATACACAGAGGTGATGTGTCTCCAGGACTCCCCTGGCTCACCTCCCAATTTGTCATTGGCTATTAGCTCTGCACCCCATTTTCACCTCTTAAATTGCAGTTTCAGGAGAGGTGGATCTCATTTCTGTTTAGGACCCCTTCATTAAGCTCCTGTGGATGTGGTACATATGCTTCAGATAAAGGTGTGGATCAGTCATCACCAAATGTCTCAGGGATAATAATTTCCCTGTTCTGCTCCACACTCCCTTTGCTTAGTAAGTCTGGCTGGTGCTAGGGAGAGCAGCACAGTGTGCTCTGCCTTCACCAACAATGTGCCCTTTGTACCTTAGGACTGAAGGAGGAGTTTCTAAAGGTGCCACTGTTGGTGTGCTCCTGGATCTGAACAAGCACAACCTGACCTTTTACATAAATGGGCAGCAGCAGGGGCCTCCAGCGTTTGAAAACATTGAGGGCGTCTTCATGCCTGCGTTGAGTCTCAATCGAAACGTCCAGGTAAATCTTCTGCAGTCCAGCCCCACTTACCCTTTCCAACTACAGGAGCTGATAGCATCATCTATGGGTAGTCAGCACAGATAGGGGTTCTTTTCCTTCTCAGGCTTACATCTAGGCTACTCACGCTCTTTGGACAACATTTGACCTTCTGTCTTGCCTAACCAGTGTGAAGAATAATTCTGTAAAACAAGTAAAAGTACCTGCACACAGTAATTCCTGCTCTGATTTTCCTGTGATGCTCCACTTGGAAAGCAGCGTCTCTAAAATTCTCCCCTGCCAGTTTGACTAAAAGCCATCTTAATTCCTCCTAGATCTCATATTTGGAGATAATTAACATTGGCAAATGACTGAAGTATGAGCAGCACAGTGGTAAGGAGAGCAAAGGCAGCATAGGTCAGAGAACTGGCACAACAGTGCATATCAGTCAGCACATCATTCTTGTGCTCTGTGTACAAGAGGTTTTCCTCTTGGAGGAACTGTCTTTAAATATGCATTTTTACTTCAAGACTGCTGCGTATGGCTAGAAACCTGGTGTGGTATAAGAGAGAGCCTGTATGCCCAGGAGCCTGAGGACTGAAGGAGGTCAGCTTAGGTCAGGCAAGACCAAGACAGCCAGGGTGGAACACTCATCATGTCCATGGGCTCCACTGCGTGACCTCTGTCCTGAAGCACGTGGGGTCCCTCATGCAGAGATCCCATCCACCTTGTACCTCGTAAGCAGCGCTTCTGGATACCTACAACTGGTGCCTAGATTTGGGAAAAGACACCTGGCTTCTCGGTCCCAAAGTATTCAGGATGTAAGGAGGAAGGAGACTTGTTTATTTCAAAGACTAGATGCCGTCTCCATTAATAGTCTCGATTTAAACTCGGACCTGTAGTCCCGCAGCTCTTTCCATGCCATTTGCCTGCACTTTGCCTTCACAAATGCTTTGCTGAGGATGTCCCAGTTTTGAATCTAATATTATTTCTTCTTTGTGCAGGTGACCCTGCACACAGGACTGGAAGTGCCACAATCTGTAAAACAGCCCAAGTTGCCCAACAACTAATGAAGCCCGTCTGACACTGTGCTGGATTCTGTAAGCTTTCTCAGTGTGTTTTGACACTTTTCAGTAAGTCAGTAAAAAAGCATCCTCTTCCCTGACTTCAAACACTGTGCAGCATGCTGCTCACCGAATAATCGACTGGTTAGAGCTAGGCCCACTCCATTTTCAACTTAACAGCCATAGCAAGCACATCCACTGGACTGGCACTCGACTGCAGATGGGTAATTGAACATATCTACTCTGCATTGCATACATATGTACACTCATGTGCACACACACACAAACACATCTGTAAAGCAAAAGGTTAAATGAGTGTAATTTCTCTCTCATGGCTGGATTTGTGCTTAAATATTAGGGATGCTGGAAAAAATGGGTGAGACTGAAGGACAGTGGATGTTGGAGCAGTTTACCAGTAGATGAACTGGATTCCCTTGCCACCTGAAGTCCTTAAATAAAGAAAGCATATGTTTTGACAGCTGAAGCAGAGGTTATATGCTCAAGAATTCCTGGTTGTCAGTTACCTGGTTGCTCAAGAATTTCTGGTTTTCAATTACATTCAGGGGCTCAAGTGATCATGGATTTTTCCTTCTGACTCTAGACTGCAGTAAGCTATAGGATAATGTCCCCTTAAAATTCAGTGTCAGAACTTATCTGCAGTGAGAACAAGATTGATTCCCAAATGCTGTCATGAAATAGCTGGGTTCATTTTAGCTAATACCATGATACATGCAGAATTCGGGTACAGAAAGTCAAAAGAAAAATATCCTTGGTGCATTTTAGTGTTTGTTATTTAGGTGTGACTGCAGAGACACTTACAGAAGACCTGATTGTGGTTATCAGCACAACTCTTATAAAACAGTGCATGGGAGATTCCTTTGAACTGAAATGATATAAGATTTATTTAAATATAGCACATACAAAGTCTCCCACATTGAGAAATGCTGTTTTCCAGCCTTGATCCTAAGAAAACCTGTGCAGCTGTAGTTCCAATGTAGCTTTGAGAGTTGAAGCCTTAATTTTATATTAGATTACTGTGACCTAATTAATGTCTTGATCCTAATGAAACACTTGAGAGAGATTAATAGCAGTAATGCAAAACCCGTCCCTAAGAATTTTTCTGGATTGGGACATAAATCTTTTGCAAGACTTGACCTGTGCCTGGCAACTCCCACGAAAATGAGCAGCCATTTCAGGTGCTGCCCGTGACAACTGGAGCCTGACTGACAGTGATCTTTTCTCACAGCCATGGCACTGTCACCTGCATGCAGCTGTCAGAGAACCCAGCACTGGCTTGCCTGTGGGCTTTGTTTCCTCTGAACCCGGTTAACACGTGTGTGTGTGTGTAGTGGCAGTGCGTGAGGAGGAGATGCAGCAGGCTTGGTGAGCCCGTGACATCTTGGACTCTTGTCACTCTAACCCTATAGAAGTGTGGTGCTATCAAACAAGAAAAGCATAAACTTTCAAATCCTATCCATGTACTATTTTGGTTTTTAAAATCCTGCTGCTTATACAAATTTTCCTCTTCAAGCATACATATACGCACACAGATATTCTTATCAGGCATGTAATTATTAAACCTGAAAACAAATATTCCAACCAAAATCCAGCTTACTGCTTTGCATTAAAGCACAGCCACAGGACAAACAGCCCAGGCCTGCCTTCAGGCAGCCTGCCAGCCCCCAGATATCCTGCTGCAGGCCCACTTCTGCTCTCTGTCTGGAGCACATCACTCAGGTAGTGCTGTGTGATGGCAAGGCTTCCCTGTGGCAAACAGCCAGAATCCTCCTGTGGGTCATCCCACCTCACAGCCATTGTGAGAAGAGAAAGGCAGACCAGAACAAAACTGGGCTATTGCACAGACACAAAGCAGTCTGCCATCCTGCTGCCTGTAACCAACCAAGCATCCTGCAGCCCACCTCTTCTGCAGGACAGCAACACACCTTCAGCAATGTCAAGACTGAAATAGGAAATAAAACCAATGATGGAAAAAAAATAGCATATGCTTTTAAGTGAGGAAGTAACAGTACTTCCTTTAGAGTCTGGAACGGATTGTATTATTAAATTTGTAGACAATGGAATAACTGTGCTATGCTTATCTTGGTTTTGTAAAGAATATCAGAGACCAACTGTGTTATAATCTTCTGTTTCATTCAATACCATATGAACTCGTGCAAGATTTTCTAATTAGCAGGTCTGTTTTCACCTACCTCAGCTAGAAACGCTACCAGACCCCAAATTTCTTCTTGAGTGTGCTCTTCTACGAACCTAACAGTTGTAATCATAGCATTGGCTTTGAGTATTGCCAGTCAGAGTAGTGTATGGGAATATTGTACATAAATTGCACATGGTTTTTATAAGGGGAAACATCCTGTGATAATTTTAATATGGAAGGCACCCCACTTTCACTTGTATTAAAAAAGACAGGACATTGTTTCTTTTGGGACAGAACCTCTGTCTTTACTCCCAACTTCTGTAAAGGAAATTCAAATGAATTTACATATTTCCAATCTTCAACCATTGCCAGATGTTTAAAATTAATTCTGAATGGCTTTTAGAAGTGTTTGCAGTTCTCAGTTTTTGTTTTCATAGTTGCTTTGGTGTCGGTTCCTGGTGTATTATATCTTGGGGAGAACACACTGAGTGACATGTTGTTGATTTCTAATGAATATATGGACAGTAGGTAGGAACAGTGAGTAGACAAGCTCAGTTTTTACCCTCTATGCATTCCAACATTCACAAAAGTAAGGTAGCTACCATTGTAGTCTCCTTTTAACCTAGCAGAAATGCAAAAAAGTTAAAAGAAATACAGTTAGAAGTAGGCTACCTGCATTAGTAAGTACTACTTTACCCTAGGTAAAAAACTAAACAAAGTCTTTGCATGTGTTGGTTGTGTACTCAGTCAAGGACTTATATTTGGCATGGCCTGTAGCAATAAACCCGTTATCCTCATAGAGTGCACTCTGGTGACTTCAGCTGGATTCATCTTCATAGTTTGATTAACAGAAATAACGCTTAAGTAGTTAAAATTACTCTAGGAAACCAATAACTCTGCACATTAATATTTATGCAGACCATGCAGGGGCCATCTGAACACAAACACAGCAGAATTTTCCCTTTGCACAACAGCATTAGGTGGGGAGAGGTGGGGCACTCCCACTGCTCTGCTCAGGCTGGAGGCAGTTTCCTTCTTTGCAGGCAACTTCTCCAAGGTCCATCTCATTATAAACCCAGCAATTTGCAGTTCTTCATCTATAGTATTTCTTATGCCAGTTTTTGTTTCCTCCAAATCTTTTCTTTAGGAGGGAGTCAGCCTTTAGTCCCTGTAGAAACTGTGTTGCTGACTGTTCAGGGAGACCCCAGAGAGCAGAATGGATACCCAAGGGTACCACTTTGTGTACTCTTCTTCCTTTTGTTCCCTCACAGTACTTCTGCAGCTCTCTGGGGCTCCAAGCTCACCCAAAGCTGCCTGTCATGGGACTCTTCAGCTCTTAGAGGCCAGGTTGCTTCTTATCAGCAGGAGAGCAAAGCCTCTGGCACTGGGATAAGTCCCATCCACTGTGGTACAGAGCCCACATGAGGTAGCTGTAAATTGACTTAACGTTTAAAAAAGCCTACAAAAGCACAAACAGGCCCTCCCCTTATCAACAAAACAATGCTTCTGCACACACCAGTATGGAACCTCTGAACAGCTGCAAAATAAATAGCAGCAGTCAAACTTTCTGTCCTGCAGAGCAACAAAGAACTCTGTTTTCACCTACCCCTGGGAGCCCCAACCTTAGCCTTTTGTAAACCTTCTTCCTGGCTCTTTCCTCTGCAAATTTCCATTAAGTTCAGGAGCACTGTCAGACTTCCCAAGGCATGCAATGCTATACAAATTCCACTTCCTCCTTTTCCCTCATCAACTTGAAAAGAGCTCACAAGATCTCTTAGTAAGACTTAATGTCAATATAAGCACACGTGTAGCTGACAATCCCTTGCTCCTTCTGCTGTGGAAAGGTATGTGCTGTAAAATAAATCTCAGTGAGGGCAGTAAGATACTGTGATGTATTACATATTTGGAAAGCAATTTGACTTCTAAAAACATAGAGAAGATGGGTAAACAGCACCATCACCTCCTATACTTGCCTATGCACTTAAGATACATAGAGGAAAATATATTGGACTGAACAAAATAAGTAAAATAAGCATGAGCTTACATGTATCAGAATTTGAGAGGAAAAAGTATTAAATGTAATTTATTATATGCATAACATTCCATCATGTTGTAAATAATGTCATGATAGTGTATTGCCGTAGTTCTTGGCTGGTGATAGAGTTCTGTGGTAGTGCTGTGTAAGTTGTTTTTTATTTTATTTTTTCCCCTCAAAGCATAGATAGTAAAGATGGCAGAGACCACCCCACACTCTGGTTTCCCAGGTGTTCCAGAGCAAGAAGAAATGTGAGATGCAGGGGTTTTTTTGTTGTTGTTTTCTTACATGACAATATTTCTTAAGGTAAGAGAGATGAGATGAAGGATAAGCTGTCACCACCACTGTATGAAAAACACTGTGTTTGCCACTGCCAGCAAGAGGTAGTGCATTTCTCGACCACAATTCAGATTATCCATCCTTGTGAAAAGGGAGGCAAAATTCCACAACCTGGGAATGGCAGCTTTCTGGTGCCATCTAGTACATCCTTTGGTCACAAAGAGAAAGATGAGGAAGGACAGTTGTTAGACCTTATTTCAGGTTTTACCACCTTTGAAGCATTCTGCTTTAAGTAGCAAAACAAAGAATTCAATTTTGAACCAGGCAAGGTAGTATGAAAACACCAAGCATCTTGGCTAGATCAACTTTGGAAGGGAGATTACAGTTACAGATCAACCACATTCCAAATGTAAAGGGCACTTGTCACTGAAAATTACCAGGCAAAGATGAAGAGTCCTTTTTTTTTTTTTTTTTTGGGAGGGGGAAAAAAGTGAGCTGCTTCTAGTTTTTACTGACAACATTTCTGGTGGTTCCTCTGCCCAGCTCTACTGAATGCTGCACACACAGAGCCAGGTGGAGCAGCAGACTGAAGCACAAATCCATGATTAATGAGAACACTTGGTCTTCTCAGGTGCAGAAAGTTGCCCATATGCAAACCTCAGAGACTAGACGATGTGTGGGGCTCCTGCATCTTTGCACAATACAGGAGACAGATGTGTGTTTCACTAACAGAGGCACTCAGCAGCATTTTCTCCTTCTGTTAAATGACCTTTTTGTTATGTTTGTTATTGCAAACAGTTCCAAGCAGAATTAATTAAAAATTATTTTTATGCTAATTGGAGAATTTCTAACATTTTCTTGTGAAGCAGTAGATAGAAATATCCTGGATCCTGATTGCATTCCTTTATCCTCCACCTCCCTTAAATGTTGTCAATAAAAACACTAACCTTCCTAGGTAGCATGGTGAGAAGACATTATGTGATGAATATTAAAAATAAATGCATGAGGTAAACCTGCTGTTATTTCTGATTGTTATATGATGAAGCATGAGTAACACTAATTTAAATGTTGGCAACTAAAAAACTGCAAAGGAATAAGAAAACAGTGTTCAGTTGTGGTTAAATGGAAGACAAGAAGTTGTTTCTAAGTTTTCTTAACTACAACATTTTCTTTCTTTACTATCATTTCCCATAGCTTATATGAATTTGGAGCTGGTGAAATATACATCTCTGCTATATGTGTCTGTCACCAGATCAAGAAGAAAATACAAACTTTTTATAATTTTGTACCTGTAACAAACGTTTGTATTTTTTGAATTAGAAACAAAATGCTTTTTGTCTTTTGGTCCAACTAAAACTTTGTGTATTATTACTATTATTACCCTTTTGGAAAATCTGACATATAAGTTTATGCTGTTTTACAGTTTATAAATAAATTATTATAACATTGCCAACAAATCCAGCATCAGTACCCTATTTATTATTACAAATTATGATTATTATGAGGCATTCATACAGTTTGCATCACTATCTCCTACTGTTGTTACTGCTTTGTTACTTACAGTCAGGAATAATCCAGTAAATGGAGAAATCCAAGAATGTTTCTCCTTAGAGCAACCATCTATGCCTCAACTTCGGACATATGCTGATTCAGTGGCATGGAACACCCCTCTTTGTCAGCACCACTCTGCTAGCTCTGGCTTGTGTTGGTTACAGAACACCTGGGAAAGCTGCAACCCACCTTAGAAACTCTAGGAAATCATGCAGTCTCTGGAAGATTCTAACACTGGAATAAGCAGAGGCTGGGAAGAACCATAGCATCAGTAGGTTCTCACTGGAAAGCCCTTTGGGTAAGTGTAAAAGACTGGGCAGAAAGCTTGTCAGGACAGGGACACACAGACTTTTTGAGATGGTTTGAAACAACCGACGGTCTTGGAGCTGCACACCTCTATCAAGCAGATGGCCTGTGAGGGACTCAGCAGTGCTTCAGAGGCAGCACACACAGCACACCCAGCCCCTGCAAAAGGCACTCACACAACCTTCACAGTCATCTGTCAGTAAGGCAGAATAAAGCATTCTGACACAGCGACAGCAGCGCCAGGGTAAGAAACAGGAGCCCAGCCAAAACAATCAGGAGAAAGTACAGACAACAGTGTGGAGACACCATCGATCACAACTTTTCTTTTTTTCTCCTGCAAAAAATACAACTTGTCATCAACTCCTATGGCAAAGGGTTTGACTGGGAAAAAAGATAATCACATGTGGCTTAACACATAGGGAAACAGGGAATAAAGGAAACTGCAATAGGAACAGGCATGAGAAAGAGAGCAGATAAGGAGAAATCCTCAAGTTCCTCCTTTACATCTCATTCCTCTAAAAACTGCAGAGGGCAAAATAAGATATGCCCTGCTCTCCTCTTCCCATAATCCACGTTGTTCAGTCAATAGTGGCTTTCATGTATCAGTGTGTGTTCCAAAACCAACACAGCTTGCTGTTGGTACACTTGCAGACTGTTCATCACCAACACACACCAGCCCAGAGAAACACCATGTGCAACAGGTTCTCAACACTCTCGTTTGTCAGTGTTGTTGAAGCATCCAGTAACAAAACAGGACTGAAAGTACCATGTTTACCTGAGCACAGCATTCCAAAAGAAATGTAGCACATCCAGCTCAAAACACCTTGGAGACATGATACGAAAAAGCAGACCTATCTCTGAAGCCTTTCATAATGCATACATACATTAAACAAGTGTGAAAATGCAAAACTTTGAATAAACTTTTTATTTCCTTCCCCCAAAAACTTTCATATTCCACTGTCAACCTGGCATTTCAGTTTTCAACTTTTTGCTTTAAGAATGGATTTTTTCAACTTTTTACAGATCTTACAAGCTCGACTGCAAAAGTTACACTCCATTCTGACGAAGTTTCACTCCCAAATAGCTTTTGGGAGCTGTGGAAGTGGAAAGTGAATATTGTAACTTACAAAAGCTGATAGAGAACATGAAGTCCCACATTACATGCCAATTGAGATGAACAGAACTTTATCACGAAGTGAGCAGTAAAACTAAGCTCAAGGATTACCCACAAATTGTAAAATACAGGTTATCTTACAACATCCAAAGCAACATCTGTTGCCTCAACAAGTCTTCATGCTCTGACATTTCTCTAATGTCAAGTAAGTAATTAAGTCTGTAACCAGACAGGAATTTTAATTCTAGTTTGAATCTGCAACCAATACTGAGTAAGAAGAAATCAAATTATGCAATTATGAAATGTGATAACAGCATTTAGCCACCAAACCCTGCACACCCCTTCTGTTCCTACATGGCTCCAGAAACACTCCCTTCTTGTTGTTCTCTGGCACATGATCCCTCCAAGCCCTCTCCCTCCTCTTGGTCCTCTCTGTGCTGGCAGAGCCCTTCTCCAGGACATGCAAGGTGGAAGGTGTGGGGGAAGCAGCGTGCCAGAAAGCATCCCTGTCCGTGGTGTGGCTCTCCCTATCCCCGAACACTTTCCCATCCTGGGAGCGGGGCAGCCTCGGATGCTGCTGTTCTATTTACCTGCTGCAAGCTGACACAGACCTCAGAGTCAGGGATCACCAGGCTCCCAGCCCACAGGGGTACCAGTACACCTAGAACAAGTTTCTGCTGTAAGGGCTGTTTTCCTTCCCACGTACACATCCTTCACCACCAGAGCTGTTCTAACAAGCTCCGCATCTCCTTACAACACAGAACAAATTCTGTCATTTAAGTTATCCTTATCTTTGTCTCCCACTAAAATACTGAACTTTCATTTTGGAAGTGTTACTAACAATTGCCATTTCTAACTGATGGACCTTAAAAGCAACAAAAGAAAATATTTAGCTACAGAAGACAATCAATGTTGTTCCAGAAACACCAGACTGCTGAAATCCAAATAGCACCAAAAGACAGTTTTGGTAAAGATTTCATAGAAAGGCCTTAAGAAGCATGAAATCAAAACAAACATGAGTTAACTGGAACAACCAGAAGCTTTTGACTGTCCACACTCATTTGGCTGTCTTACATGGTCTTGTTTTTAAAAACCAAACAACCAAGCCACCAAACCACTATTCCAAAGTGCTTATTTGGAGATCTCTAAAGAGATATACAAGATGAGTGTGTAATGCTTGCCTGGGACAAAACTTCAGAGAAGTATTTATTTTCATTCCAAAGGTGGCAATTTTGAAACGCTAAAGAGATATACAAGATGAGTGTGTAATGCTTGCCTGGGACAAAACTTCAGAAAAGTAATATTTTCATTCCAAAGGTGGAAATTTGGAAACATTAAGAGGTTTTGCTGAAAAATCATTGTGCAGTTAAACTATCCACTAATAATCCTAAGGATACAGAAACAGATTTATGTCCAATAAATGTTTGGAGAACACCTACTTCCAGTTCAGAGTAAGATACTGCTTTTTACAAATTCCTTCCGTATGAAAGATATATTAACATTAATCCATTAATTTATGGATTAAATGACTATTTTATTAACAGCCAATAAGCTGATTCTACAAAAAGAAATGTTTTCTTCAGCACATATTGACTAATAAAAATAGCCTGTATAACCTTCTTGATAAGAACTCTAATCTTTATTTATAAAATGGTAAATTCTAATATTCATCCCAAGACAGAATGGTACATAAAAATCCTGTAATAACAAGATTAAAAAATTAGGATATGGTGGATAGGCAAAAGGCTCCAGAAGTCTGTGTTGGTAGCAATGTGAACTCTCTTATGCATATTGTCCATTTCACTCTGTATCATGAAGTTCATTTGCTAACTTTAGATGATTTAATTTTCTTTATGTCACGGCTTTGCAGAATCAAGGTCCCATTTCTGAATTTTCCAACTTGTCCTGCAGGCCAAATGCTAGGCACAGATTTCTTCCTTTTGGCCTTCCTGAAACAGGAAGACGAAAAACAAAAATTAAAAGAAACAGCAGAAACACAGGTAAACGCTTAATATGGTGAAAAAGTCACCTATTTATGCAGAGTTTGGTATTATGGAGTAACAAACTATAGCATGTAAAGACTTCAGAACATTTTTCCTTCATAGACATGCAAAATTTACAGCACATTACAGCACGATTTACATTTTTAAATGTTTAGAAACATGAAGATTTTTGGACAGAGAAGGAAGACAGTACAGAGGGAACCTGCTGCACTAGGATTAGGAAATGTCAGCTCACTTTCAAGCCTCTGTATACCGTAGCTTATGCTTTGCAGAAATTATTTCTTAGGGCAAATGCTCTGAGCAAGTGGTGTCATGAGTCTGCACATAGGGATTTTCATCCCTCTGACGTCCAGCTGCAGTCTTAAGACATGTTGGGGCAGAACTGACATACTTCCAAGTAAAGCTGAGGAACTGAAGTCTCTGGAACAGCTAGGCACAGAGCAGTGTCACCATTTTTTGAGGATCTCAGCACCTGGAGAATTTTGTTGCACTGCGATGTGCATGATTTCTGGAGTAAGACTGTGCAATTACATAGGGGAGATACACTGGGGAGACCACGTTGAAAACACCTCACCTCTCCTGTTCTTTATGCTTCTTCTTCTTTATAATAGAGTCACCTTTATGTTCCTGTTTTGAAAGACAGATATTTTAATGAAAAAGGAACAGAGCATGTTGATTAAACAACCACCTGCACAAAGAACATTTGGTAAATAGCCTTTGCTTCACAGAGCAGCAGGCACTTAAAGCAAGCTGGGAGACCTTCTGACAGAACAAGTGATGCAACACATTATGGAGCCACTGCCAGGAGTGCCCAGAGCCCTTCCTAATGCCTTATGGAAAGTACAGCCCACTCACGACCAATGTGCTGCCCTTGCCACGTGCAAAAGCAGAGGCTTCCTTCTTGGGCATGTGACAGATCCCAGAGTCAGAAGATGGACTTGCTACCAAGTAGGTGTGTCCTGTCACCCAGCTGAGGGCAGCTGTCAAATAACAGGGCTCAGATGTGACTGGTCATGCACTTTGAGCCACATGACAGAGCAGGAGAAGTAGGTCCCTGGGAAAGAGGGTGGCAGGAAACTGGCTGATAGAGCAATTACGAGCCCCACCAGCCTGCTCCCACCTACATGGGAAGGCTCTATAGCGAGGCAGAGAGTAGGCTCAGAGCCAGATGGGCTGTGCTAGAGGATGGATCCAATAGAAGCCTCACCCTTGCTTTAAATAATGAGTAGGATCCTAGATGGAATTGTGCTGATAAAAAAACAGTCGAAGATCCGGCTCTCTATGGTTAGACAACATGCAACAAACTTTAATTGGGGACGATTCTGTTTCCTCTTAAGAGGAATGGATAAAAAACCACTGCTGATTTTGTGTCATCAGTCTATCAGCCTGGAATGGTGAGGCAGTGAAACCAACCACAACACAAGCCTAACTCTGTGCCTTTATACTGCACACAACCAGCTTTACCAACGAGATTAATCCTGCAGGAGCCAGGAGCCCAATCCACAGGGAGCAGCAGGTGTCAAGCTTGGGCACTCCTCCTGCACCTGAGGCATTATCTGTCAGGCTCTTTTAAAGAGGGCTGGCTCCTACATGCTGCCTTTTTATGCAGAAAATTTCATACAAACCTTTTCCTTATCAGCATCTTTCACTGCTTTTTTCTCTTTCAGTTTCTCCTGGTAAGTCCTGTAGTTCACATGTGCCTTTTTGGGGGGCTGCAAAAAGATTGGGAGGGATACTGCTGATTAAATTTTCAAATAGGTTCAAAAATTATTCACACACTTGCACAGACAGCATTTTTCGTGTGGTAGTGGCAAAACATTAGAAATGCTTATTTCCTTTTGGGTGAGAGGAATGGACTTAAGAGACATCAGGTAGTCACAAATTGTTTCTTTCTTGGTGAGGACAGCAGAGAGAGACAATACTGTTCTGGTATCAGTCCTACAAGGTTTACATACACACTCTGAGCAAAAAATCCCAACCCACTTCCTAAAAAACACCTAAAATAATATTTTTTTCATTTATACTAGTTATGATGAACTAAAAAACTTTCTCCATCTTTATCTCTGTGAGAATGAAGATTTAAAAAGTGAGCCCCACTCTCCAACTATTTACTTTTGATTAAAAAGTAAATAGTTGGAGAGGCCTGATTAAAAATTAGTAAATGTTTTTCAGCCTGATTAGTCATATTTCATCTGCAATGCTTTCCTGATAACACAACCATACTAATCTTCCAATCATCCACAGACAAGACAGAAGAGATGATGTAAAAGTAAGGATGAAGTGGGAGAACAGTCAGGGCAGGGGATTTTGTGTTTTAAAAGAGGAATACCAAAGGCCCTCATGTTCTTTACTGCTTTTCTGCATTGTAACAGCTGGGTGACCTCCAGCACAAACCAAGGGACAATTACCTTGGCCCCCAGCATGATAGCACGCTCCTGTTCCCAGACACGTTGTTCCTGCTTCTTGTAGCCAGTGATTCCAAACTTGTGCACTTCCAGGCGAGCCTAGAACATTTCAGAAAATTGGAGGCATTTCATAATGTCCAAGCTGTTGTAAAGCAATGCCTGGCAGAGAGCAACAGTCATACTCCTGAGGAAATCCTGGCTAATACTGGAAATTGGCATGCTATAAAATAAAACTGAGTTCAGAGCTATACTGTGGAGCAGTTAACCACTGTCCAACTAACCTCTGGATGGTGAGGACTGTCAAGGGGACAATTTTCAATTCTCCTCATTTCACATGAAGTAATACATAGAACGGATTTTCTCCATGTAAAAAATGAGCACTTAACCACTGAGAAACATGGATGGGCAGATGGTGGTTTGACTACACACATAGGTGGAGTTAACACTATACAAGCATACCTTGGCAAAACTACTAATGAATCCATAATCTTTTTTAAATCAGTGATTAAATCCCCACCCTTCTTAGCAGTACAGAGCTCCATGCAGAATCTCTGGAGAGAGACGGGACTGGATCACAACACATCCCTGAGCAGCAATTAGGCACACAAAAGAACTTGCACAGATCTGTAAACAAATTAGTAGCTAAGGTGGCCAATGCTAGTTATGTTCATGTAAGAACAGATGCGAATAAAATGACAAATGGCAAAAGTGATTTGTTGTTTCAAAAACAGAAGCCAATACACTTTTTTTTCCTTCCCACGTGAGATGTCAGAGATTTTTAACACCATAGGGCAGAAAGAACTATGCTAAATATTATGGGAATTCAAGCACCTTTACACATCCCACTCAAATTCTCATTGGAAGGTCAGAGAAAAAGGCCATGAAGTTGTAACACACCTCTCTCCACATGGAGCAGCTGACTGCTGCCAGCCTGTTCCTCCTTTGGTGTGGCATGTAGTCAGAATTACCTATTAGGAAATCCTCACCTATAAGAGAAATTTCCTATTAGGAAATCCTCACCCAGCTCTTTCTGCAAAGGTTTCCCATCAGTCCCACCGTAGCTTTCTGAAGTACACGTGCACACATAACTGTACACTACACTAGTGAGATTAGTCTGATCCTAATGACTTACCTTTTCAAAGTTAAATTCTTGTCTGACTGCATTTTTCTCTTCATTCACTATTTGGGTCTAAAAACAAAACAAAACATTTCAAATTAATATTACAAGTAACACCAGTTTAAATGCTGACTGGGATAGCTTTTTGAAAAGCAGTGAAATGTAAAGTCCATTATATGGAATAGTTTCCAGCAGCATTTTTTCCTAGCTTTATTACCAGGATCTGTTAAAAGAGACAGTTTCAATGGCATTTTTCTAGGTATGTAAGAGAAAAACTGCCACATATCACTCATATGTCCTTTTCCAAACCCACATTGAACAGCTAATGTAGGACAACTCGTGAATTTTACGTAATTTTGTTTGAGACAGTGCAGTGGTAATAGTGCATGTACTCACAGCTGGGACAATATGTAGAACTAGCTTAATTCCTAACTGCATGGACATATATTAGTGTCCATATCCAGCCATATCCACTAATGCCAGAGAAACAGCTCCAAAGGGTGCACTGCCAGCAATGGCAGAACGCACTTAACACAGGCTGAAGAAAGGACTTGCTCAAAATGAGCTCAGAGAAAAGCACATCTTCTCTGCTCCACAATTTACACAGACACTTTCCATCAGCAGTTCTCAGTTTGGAGGGGCGCTCTTGCAGGGCAACACACTATATCATAGAAAGAAAAAGAAGCACAAAATTCCCAGGGAGAGAGTTCCATGCTTTCTTGTTACAGGAGTGTCCCACATGGGACACTGTGGAGCAGCTACAAATCTCCCAGGGTTATTTTAGACTGTCTGCTTTCTGATTTCAGGGAGGATGTGCTGAGCCACCTCTCTGAGGGGAAGCTCTGCCCATCCCCAAGCATGCTGATGCAGGCAGGCAAACTGCCATCTGTTCAAGAGATTACCCTGTTCGCTCCCCTGTTTGCTCCCAAAGGTACAATCCACTCAGATGAAACAGGAGTACTACGTAAGCATTAAAGCTGAACTGAAATACATTTCAAGCATTTCCATTTCACTCTCCAGGACCTCAGGGCACAGTATGTCACAGCTTCAGGCCCAAGGATTACACCAGGGCTTCCCTCTGCATCCACCATAGCCAAACTCCTCTCAGCTCTGCAAAGGCTTCTATATAGAATTCAATTTCAACCACAAATACACCCAGTTATCTTCAGAGCATTTTGCTAACAAGTGTAAGACCAGTGTTTTCAGGAAAAAAAACTCCAGCTATAAAAAACTTAAGAAAATTTTTAGAGGAAAACATGCTGGAAAAAGCACAAAAGTTAGGGATTCAAACAACTCCTTAAGTCTCTTCAAGTCCCCGGTTCCAAGCAATTAAACCCCCAATATCAGTAAGTCTCTCTGAATTCAAGACAATATGCTGGCCCATCAGAGCTTATTTTAGAATGGGCTTCTGATGTTATGGCCATAAAGACAATTCAAAGAAAACAATCACAGAAGCTATAAAATCTGGAGACCAATCAACCCCCCTGCTCAACTTCCAGCCAAACCTATCCAGACCTCCCTGGTGAAGGAACTCAGCTACAGTTTTTGGTAGCGCAAAGCAGTTTAGCAGCAGCAAACCAAGCCCGAGGACTGAGATCTAATGCTGTCATGCCTTCCCCTAGGGAGTACCCAACACTGATCCTCCAAGAACAAATGCTGCTTGAAAATGGCCCAGCACTGCTGTGATGCCAGAGAAAAGAAGGAAGTTTTGGCACCTCACGTCCACAGCTACTGACAGGAACAGAGCAGCACACAAAACTCCTGGGCACTGCAGTAACCAAGAGGCTTAGCCTTCCATCTCTTTCACTTCTTGCTGTAACATCAGCCTGTCAGCAAACCAATTTATTTTGCTAAAATGCGCCTATTTCAAACATGGGATTCTCATCCAGAGATCTGAAATTCAAAACATTGGTATTCAAGTGCTGCCCCCTCCCCTGCTTCATCCTGCCCGTTTCCAGCAGCCCCACTGGGAATGAGCAGGACCAGAAGCCATCGAGCTGAGCACGCGGATGCCAAAGCATCCAGGCAGCCGTACCAGCAGAGGGACAAACGCAGGCCCGCAGGGAGCGCAGCCCGCCGCACGGCTCCCACCCCGGGCAGGGGCGGCTGGGGCAGCGGGGCCCGCGCCCGCCCGGCCCTACCTGCGCTGCGCCGGCGGGCGCTGCCGAGGGGCCGTGCCGCTCCTTCCTCTTCCTCCCGCGGAACACCACGACCTCCACGGCGGGCGGGGCGGCGGGGGCCGGCGGGGCAGCGCCGGCGGCGCTCAGCTCGGCTCGCAGCTCCCCGAAGAAGCCGCGGGCCCCGCGCCGCCCGCCCGCCGCCGGCTGCGGCTCCCGTCTCTCCTCCTCCTCTTCGTCTTCCTCCGCTGACGGCGGCACTGCTCTCGTTCCGCCGTCCTCTGCAGCGCGCCGAGCGCCGCCGGGCTCCTCACCTGTTCCGAGCACATGCCGTGGGTCAGCTCCGCGCCGCCGCCACTCCGCTCCGGAGCGCCCGCGCCCGGCCCCCTCCCCTCCCCAGCCCCAGGGAGGACCGTGGTGCCGGCGCAGCGCCCGGCCCGGCCCCGCGCACCCACCCAGGTCGTAGAGGGTGCCGAGCACCGCCTCCAGCCGGCGGTGCGGCTCCCGCGGTCCCATGGCTGCCGCGGCGGGCGGGCGGGCCGGCGTGTGACCCCCGGCGGCTGCCGTCGCACCCGACATGGCGCCGCCCATGGCGCGGTGCCCCCGCCTCGCCTCGGGAGGCGGCGGCGGGCGGCAGGGCAGCTCGACGGGGTAGGGCGGGCGACCGGGGCGCGGGGCGGCGCGGTGGAGCTCGCAGGACCATGGCGACAGCGGCGGCGCCCGGGCGGGCGCGGCGAGGGGCACCCATGTACTCGGTAGGCGGGAGCGGTGCGGCGGGGAAGGGGCTGCTCACCTCACCCGCGCCGCTCTCTCTGAACGGGGATGACGGCGCTTGGCGCAGTCTGCTCCTCCACCCTTTACTCCCGGTTTGCGTTCCCGAGGAAGCGGGGACCGCGCTCCGGAGGGACGGACGAGGCCTTTCCCGGGTCCCGGCGGGAGCGGACTTTTCCCCTCACCAGTTCACCTCTGCTTCGGCTGTCCTTCACTGTCCGTCGTGTCACACAGCCAGAGCTCCCGAGCGCCGCGGCGCTCCTCAGAGGTGCTGCGGAAGGCCCGGCGGGGTCCGGGAGGTGGGAAGTGTCCGGAGCGGCTCCGGGAGGCGGCAGGTGTCCGGGCACCGGGCGCTCCGCAGGGCTTCAGTCCGCAGCAACCTGTCCCGCAGCCGGGGTGAAGTTAGCGCTGGGAGGTTGTCGTGGGCATGGAGTGGCTGAAGCGGGTTTTCCCGTGTTACATAGTGAAAGTTACTTCATTCACCTTGTTGGTTCCCTGCAGCTGCTCTGCCAGCTTCAGACAAGGAGTTTTGGGTGTGGAGTGCTAGATCCCATCTCTCTACAGGCGTTTGGAGGAGGGTACTAGGGAGAGAGGGAAACAGCTCCTTGTTTCGGCAGAGATTCCCAAGCTTCTTTTGTGTCTTGTCTGTTTGCTGGTATCCCAAGGGCATCGTGAGCACCATCTTTACATTGCATATCCTAGTTATTGGAAGCAGAGGAGCTCCAGGCTCCTGCTTTTTTGCTTCCCTACTTCACTGCTGTCACAGTAACAGCGCATGTCACTGAATCTTCAGATGTCCAGGTTTCCAACAGTGTGTTTTCTAAGTGTGTTCTCTACCACCTGGCAATCGAAACTGGAACAACAGCTTGGCTGGAATGTGTAAAAGCACAGTTGCAAATCTTTAGCGTTTGGTAAAGTGTGTGACTTGGCTCCCTCAGTGCTCCTTCAGAACAGGGCGTGAAAATAACTATTACCATGGGGAGAAATCAGTTGCACGTCAAGTCTGAAGACTTGAGACGAAGAGCAGAGGCAGAGAGGTGATTTTTCAATGGGCCGTGGCCCTAGCAAAACTCTGCTCGCCGGAGTTGCGCTGGGGAAGAGCTGCAGCCATGCGGTGACTGCTGATGTGGCTGATAGTGCTCGTGCTGGGTGCTGTCTTTCTTTGTCTGCATTTCATGTAGTTGCAGATTGCAGGATTCGAACTTTTTGTGACTGACATAAACATTGCTTAGATGTTCTGAGCAATGACTTGTCACATACTGATCTGAGTAGGTGATACTTAGAGTAATTTATTTTCTGCTGCTATTCTGAGCTTTTTTTGCCATTATACAACATAAGGGATTTATTTCTGTTTTATTTTAATCAAGGGGATTGATATAAGGTGTCAACAGCAACAGATGGCTGATAGAAACTATTTGCAGTCATCTTAACAGATCTTAGCTTACTCAGCTCTTGCAAAATACTAACCAGCTGAAAGCTGTGAAAGAAGAGAGGTTGAAAGCTGTAATGCTAAATCATACAGGACAAAAACCCCTAAAAGTTTTAATACCTGGATGAGATTATTTTGAAAGTCCCTGCTGAGTTTGTTCTGCAGTTACTGTGAGGTAATTCTCTAAACTGCAGCTGTGGAAAGAAAAATTATACAATCTACTAAATGCAATTATAGTAGAGAGATGGTCTCCAAATTTGCGTGGGTAAAAGAACTTGAGAAGGTCAAACATTATAGTGGGATTTGTGTCCTCCAATAAAACAAAATTGACTTTTGATGCAGATGAGGCTTTGAAGGATTTTTTGTCATTCTTAAATGGAGATATTCCTGATTTGAGTTGTTTTGTTCCACTGTTGGGCATTTTGCTTATCTGTTGCTGGTGTTCCCCTGTGTGTTTGCTGGCCAGGCTTTCCACTCAGCACCAGAAAAGATCACTGAAGGAGCTCATGAAGCATGTTTTATACTTCATTATCAGTTTGGTTCTGCACAGGTCAGATTTAGAAAGAGGAGGTGGAATGAATGAAAAGATTGCCAGTGCTACCCTTCAGGTAGAACTGTAGAGGAAGACATGAGCATTTTTATTTTTAATATCTTCTAATAAATATGCTTGGTCATAACTAATATTTTTTTATTTAACAGAGGCTTACTCCAGTTTTCTTACTTACCTGGTGGCTGTTGCTGCTGGTTTGAAGCTTGGAGAAATACAGTTTCACTCTTGGGAAGACTGAGGGATCATTCATACAAACTGTAGTGATATAGGAGACAATAGGAGACATCGCTCTCCAGCACAAGGGTCTACTGGGTCAAAGGGAAGAGTTTTGTCTGAATTTTTTGCAGCAGGATGGATCCACAATTAGTTCTTGATGCCCTGGGGTTTTTCTTGCTTAGCAGTGGTGGTACTGATTACTCAGAGACTGCTCTCTTTTTACCTACGTGTGCACTGTATTGCATTCACATGGCTCTCAGTGAGGTGATTTGAGGTTTTCTTTATTTGCTCTTGCCTGGTAATGTTTTATGTACCTTACATCCGAGCTGTGTGAAAGCTACAATTCACCAAGGCCCCCAGATGCAACTTTCAAGTAGCAGGGATTATTTTCTGTGTGTTAATGATTGGGTTTTTATAATGTGAATCATAGCATTGTCTTAATGAAGCTGTGAGAGTTGGAATCAAAAGTCTTTTAGTTAATACCTCTTAATCACAGAGAGGCTGGAAGCAAGACACTTCAGCTTTAAAAGCCCATATCTTCTCTCAGTTTCTTCCTTTTGTGTGGAATTAAGTAACATGGCATAGGGTGATTTGAAGACCTTTGCAGTTGAAGGGACTAGGGTAAGGGTTTTTTTAGGGGGGAGGTAGAATTAAGTAACATGGCATAGGGTAATTTGGGAATCTTTGCAATTGAAAGGAATTAGGGTGAGGGGTTTTTTTCGGGTGGGGGAGGGTGTGTGTGTTTGTTTATTTTGCTTTTTAGTTTCTTTCTGGATCACTCTTGCAAGCAGGTGGTATTGGTTCCTGCACTCACAGAGTGTAGCATGCAGATGTTATTAAAAGCTAAGAAGAAACCCCAAATGTTGCACAAGTAGTGCATATCATCATTTTGGTGCTGTAGCCAAGAAGGTCACCAAATAGTGTCTCATTCTTCATTTGTATGTTCCTAGCAGAAAGAGCTCACATCAAAGAAAAGAGATGAGTTTGAGGATATTTTGGAGGAAAGACGGTTGTCCAGTGACTTGAGATACGCCATGAAATGTTACACCCCAGTGATCTACAAGGGACTTTCACCTTGCAAGCCAAATGCTATCAAAAGTGCTGTTCTCCAGTCAGAGCAAGTTCAGTATGTCATCAAGCAGGTGAGTCTGGACCTCTAAGATGATGCAGATTAAACACAGCCAAGCTTTGTGTGGCAGCAGGGAAAAAGAGGTTGTTGCTGACATTGTTAAAATGGTAATTGTAGTTTGGAAGATAGTCCAGTAAATAAATAACTCTTTTGTCAGGAAAAAAAATTACTGGAATTGCCACCAAAACTGTCAGGTTCATGAAACAGTGTTTTGATTTTGCATATGCAACACTTCATCATTAATTTATCCAGTGTGCCTGACTACTTCTTTTTTCTCTTTCTCCTCATACTCCACATACTCAACTCTGTGGTTCTCACCACAGAACAACATTGTGAAAGACATCAGCACTCTCCTTCTTAGCAGACACTTCTGTATTTTGGGGGTGTCTTGTAGAAATTTTATAGGTTAATGATGCATTTATGAACAAGTCCTAAATGCTACTTTCACTAAGATGAGAGTTCTATATCACAGATAATTCTTTGAATTAGAAACACTGTTTAAGATGTAACCATATTTTTTGTCCTAACATGAAGGGCAGCTACTACTTTATAACAAATAAAGTATTTTATGGTTAGGCTGGCTGATACTTTGCACTGTGTTTAAATGCCTGAAATATGTGTGTGTGTTAATTAGCAGCATAAGCTAATTTCAGTAGCCATAAAAAATAATTGCAAGTGTGTAGAAATACCTAAGGTGATTTGGTTAGTCCTGAGTGACAGGCTACTGTAAATTTTTTCTATTTGTTTCTTTTAATGGCTAGTATTACCTGTGATACATCAAAATGTGTTATAATGTGACAAAGTAAAGTATGTCACTATACACCACAAAGTAGTTTTGTTTCCATTATGGATTGCTAAGTAGTATGAAAGCAAAAAAAAATCTTTCAACTCCAGAGACACTAAAAAATTTACTGAAAGAAAATACTTTACAGAGGATTTTATAGAAGGATGTTTGTGTGATGTTTTCTTCTGAAGTGCTTTTTTGATAGAAAATTATTTTGATGAATATTTTCTGGCTGCATCAAGTGGTTGAAGGGAGTTAGCAGACCTGCCATTGCAGCCTGGTTACCAGTTTTGCACTAGAGGTTACTGGAAGTTTCTAACTGGGAGTGTCTTGGGCAAAGTGCCCAGCACTCTACAATTAGGGTCCCTCCTGCCTGGGCAAGGTTTGCAGAGCTTTGCACAGGCGTACTTGAATTTGTTCTTGTGCCAAATTGTTGTGGTTACTAAAGTTCAGTGTAGGAAGTTAAGGTCATTTGTTTGTTTTAGCATTCTATATGTGACTGGTCTGGGTTTTTGATTTCTGATTTTGGGAAGTTCTTAGTTCCATGGTGGATTTCCCTTTAAATCACTCGAGTGAATGGTATGGTAAGCCTTCTGCTGGTGAATGAGAACAGAATCTCTTCCTGATGAATAACAAGAGGAAATTTTTGGCTTCCTAAGCAAGACTGATTTTCTCAGGCTCAACTGGAAGCAGTTTTTGGCTTCTTTAAGTCGCTGAAATAATCAGTTTAAACTACATGTGGAAATACATAGAATAATGGGTAATGCATTTAAGAAAACACATTTGACCTAGTAGATGTGCTAGTAAGATATATAGAGGTAGATTGGAGGAGATGGATTTCCTCATATGTCACAAAATGGAAATAATAGGTAAGCAGCACTGGCTTCCAAACGATGTGCTTTTCTGGAGGCTTTTTCTTCTGCCATTCCTTTCCTTTCCCTTCTTCTTCTTCTATGTTGAGTAGAAGTCATGTTCCCTATTCCATAATGATAAAAGGCTTAACTTTTCAACTACATATTTCTAGATTCAAATACCAAACTGGAGGGATGGCCATTATTTAAGTCTATTTCAAGGAACTTCAAAAGGGAATGTGCATGGCAACAGAAGAAAGATCATTGATATGCACAGTTGGTAGAGACAGTGCTTTGTATGCAATTCAGCTCTCCCTTGCCAAAGGAATGCATCACAAAGAAATGGAAGTGTGATACAGCTGAGGTTCTTTGTAAACTCTAGCCCAAATGCATTTAAAATATTTACATTCTGACTGTCTCTACAAACATAGGTTTCATTTTACTATTGAAAGAAAAATACACAGTCTTCAGACTGATAAATATAGGAAGTATTCTTTGAACTTAAATATCCTCTGAATATGCTGCAAGTTAAAACATTCGTATGGGGGGAGGATTTTTGTACATCCTCCCCCCACCACTGACGTCTAAGGTTATGTTGGTTTTTAAGCAGCTTTAACTTGGCTTTGTTGGCTGGCACCAAACAGATTCTGTATGATTAGATCCATGCCTATCACATAAAACAAAATCTTGTGGACTATTGTAGTAGCTCTCCCATGGTAGCTGTGGCACATTAGAACAGTGTGCATGGACAAGGAGAAGGGGACAACTTGTCACTGCTGTTTTGTTTCTCCTTAGTTAGCAAAAGAAATGGGAGAATCACCTGATATTATTCAAGAAGAAGCCATGGAAATCCTGGATGAAATGGGCCACCGTATGCAACTAGGAGCTGTCAGATTTTTTGCCTTCACTCTGAGCAAAATATTTAAACAGCTTTTCCAGAGAGTTTGTGTGAATGAAGAAGGAATGCAGAGAGTGAGTACTGGTGGGAGGAAAAAGTTAAAATATTTTTAGACCAGTCACTTGGACAAGAGCTCTAATCACAAATAAAAAATGTGGAATATACCCTCTATAAAAACCAAGACTGCACTCACTTTTGTTTACTAGTGTTTTTCTTAGTAAATGTGGGAGGAAAGACAGATGATATGTAAGTATTTTAGAGGCAAACAGATGTCACGATTTTTTGTATATTTTCCAAATGCTTCCTATGATAAGGAATACCATGTGCCTTTGAGTATGTTAGATCAGCCACTGAGAGAGTGTTTTCTATCTGATATTATAAAATAATAGTGCATTTAGCTGAATTGGGGGTCACAATATAATATTACATGGCTGTACAGCAAAACCATCATACAACTAAGTGTGGTGAAACACTGTGCACCTCTGAGGCAGGAGATGCTTTAGGTTTTCCTCAGTTTCCGGGAACTGCTGTCCCCTATTTCATTTTAGGATATTGCTGTTCTGGAGGGTGCAGTGCATTCCCTGGAAGTCAGCAATGTCAATCCTGACAGTCCCTATTTGGTTTCTCATCCCCATCAAAAGGGTTTGGAATTAGACTATCCCATGATGGGGTACCCCTTGTTTTTGAGTCCTGTGATGCTTGTGAGCCTCAGGTTGCTGCTCTGGAAATAACTGCTCCAAATTTCCAATGGGTTCTGTGCTGAAAGATCTGTATTGATTGTGTGGGCAGAGAAACAACCATCAAGCAAAGGGGGTTTTATTTGCCTTAAGCCCTGTGCAGGTCTGTATTTGCAAATTTCAACAGTCAGTAAATATTGGGACAATATTGTTTGCACTGTTCTTTTTCAGTTGCAACATGCCATTCAGGAGCATCCCGTGGTGCTGCTGCCCAGCCACCGAAGCTACGTAGACTTTTTGATGCTGTCTTATTTGCTATACACGTATGACTTGGCCTTGCCTGTCATTGCATCAGGAATAGGCAAGTATGTTTTTAACAATGTTTTCAGGATTCAGAGAATTGGTAGCATTCTCTGGTAGCTGCAACTATAAGTAGATGTGTTTAACTTCTGTTTCAAATATAGCTTGTTAAATCCTCCTTGGGTAAGGTGCTTACAATGTCTGAAAGCTTCTCATTACTGCTGAGTCCTGTCAAAGATGAATCTTTTTCATAGCAAGTTCACCCATAAGTACCCCATCTGTAGACCTGAGGCTGGGCAAAAGATAAGGGTTGTAAAGAATACTTCTATTTGCTTTCATAGCCTGGTAACAGGCAAGAACTTGCCCAGGTGCTACTGAGGGTGCAGAACTTTTTGTGATACTTCATGCAGTTTGAAGTGCAGTTACAGCCAGATACGAAGTACCAGGCACCTCGTGCTTGTTTCTGATGTGATTGATTCCTTTGAAATATTGGCAGAACTTTGTGACATGCTGAGAACAGAGCTGGCAGTGAAGTGACATGGCATATCAGAGGTCAGGATTTTGGGCATACTTAGTTGTAAAGCAGATTAAGCCAGTATATTGGTAGGAAACAATTCTTGAGGGCTTGAACAGTGAATGTCTTCCAAGTTAATGTGCTTTTTGATAATCTGGATGCTGTTAGCACTTAACTTAGAAACCTGATCTTGGAAGTCATGAGTAACAAACAGGTCTTCCAAGCAGGCAGAAAACCACCTCAGGTCTGGTGCAGCACTGTTACCTTACCATGCGCAGGTAAAGTAACCTATCAGAGATGGTGGAACTTTCTGCTTTACTGTAGTCTGCTTTTCCAGTCAAGAAGTTAACAAGACTAATAGAAGCTCTGAGAATGTGCTTGCTATGGAAGATGAAATTTCCCTGGTCTTTTAGTTTGTTGCATCTGGGTGATGCAGGTTAGATTTACAAGTCCATGCTTCACCGCTATCTTGATCAAGGTGTTGCAGTTTGCCTGTTGTGTATTGTTCAGAATCTGCTCACATGTTGTTATAGGTATTGGTGTAATCCTTTGTTGACTTGGATTAGAGTATTTTTGTGTTTTGGACCTCAAAATAGTATCTTAAGATACTATTAGTTTAGCTTACAAGGATTTTTTTGATGATTAACATTTTTTTAATGCTTTGGGTGCTTCAAAGTTCTCCTAAATAATTAGGGGATTTTAGCTTGATGCTGCCTGCACATGTGTATTATTTTAAATTCCTCTGGAGAAAATATAGGTTGTAGTTGTATTTCATACCTGCATATCATGTTAGAGATTCACAAGATTTGGTTTACAAAGTCACTCCCAAATCAGCACTCGTGCTGAGTGGAGAGACTATCCTGATATAGGTGGTAAGTGCCTTTGTTTTGTTAGTTATCTCGTGGCTTCAAGCATACAGATAGATCTGTGGGGATTAGCTAAGGGAAGGTAAACAGTTGCCAGTACATCCTCATACAGTACATTAGCAGGAATCTAGCTGGTGTTGGGATGATGTTTCTGGCACCTGGGACATCTTCGGGGCAGTCATTGTCAGTGTTGCAACTAGAAATGTGAATTTATTTGACTGAGTGAATATCTGTTTTTCAGTGTTTCATGGATTGAGGTGGCAAGGTTGGAATGACATGTTGCCAGCTGATGTGTGGACTTGTTTTAAATGCTTCCATAAGAACTTTGTTAACATTAAGTGATTTAGTGATTTTTTTCCTGCTTTTGACAAGTTAAGCATTGACTATCATTGCTTAAAACTGAAAAACAATAAAATAATTTTAGGTGGTTTGGTGTACCTCCCCCAGAATGATGAGTCAGGATCATAGATGGTCTAATGTAGTTTTATTGGCTGCCTAATTTCTGTGTCTTCTACAATATATTCGGCAGGAGCTGCTTTTTTCTAAAGACGAGTGAGATAATGTACTTCAGAAACTTTGTCTTTATTATGGCTGAACTAAATTATGAAAATGGCCATCTAAATTATGAAAATAAATTGCTCTAAGTGAATGCAGCTTAAAAAATGGAAAGCATAATATGCCATTCTTGTCTGTATAAGTCTTGCTAGACAATTTGAAAGCAAATAAATGTGTTGGCAACAAAGGAATCCTTGAAAGAGATCTTCTGTATTCTGCTAGTCAGCGTGCTGCTAATTTTGTGGTTGATTCTTCTGGCTGATATTAATCAATAAATTTTGTGTGTGTGGTTTTGTTTTTTCTCTGATTGTTTTTCAGATTTCCTAGGAATGAAAATAGTTGGGGAGCTGCTACGAAGGGCAGGTGCCTTTTTTATGCGACGTTCCTTTGGTGGGAACAGACTCTACTGGGCAGTGTTTGCTGAATATGTAAAAACGATGTTAAGGGTAAATAACTTGCTGAGATCTCAAAATGTATACTTAAGAAATACTGTATTGGAGCAATTCTTGTGAGTTATGCAGGATGCCTTGGCTGTGTGATTGAAAGTCTTCATGGTGATATGAGTAAGTGCTTTTTACCTCAGATTTGCTGCAGCTGAAGCCCATGTGTGCACTCTATTATTATTACACAGTTCAGTAAGTGATAAATTACTGCTCATCAGTTGGTTTGGATTGTGTGCCCATATCTCATGACAGACACAGTATTTTCCTTAATTAAACGATATGGTGCAGCAAATACAATGGATGAATGTTGGCTTACAGATGTCTGAAGTTAGATATGTTTGTCTTTCATTAAAAAAAAACAACTTACTTACATTTGAAGTACTTAAAACTGTTTGTGGGCAATAAAGAAGTAATGTTTTCTCTGACTAACTTTTTCTTTGTTTTACTTTTGAAGAGTGGCTATGCCCCAATTGAATTTTTCCTTGAGGGGACTAGAAGCCGCACTGCCAAGACTCTGACTCCAAAATTTGGTATGTTTATTTAAGATTTGGAACTTCTAATATTATTAGCACATTCATTAGTGTCTGTGTGCTTTGTAAGTTCTTTGGATAGAAAGGGATGTTCAAGTAGAGGGAGACTGGGGAAGTCTGTCCGAGTATGGAAAACACCATGGCTGGGTTCAGAGGCCTTGCAAAGAACAGCAATATATTTCACTTCCTCTCTACTGCTTTTGCTCCCTTTGCCCCATTGTGTACTAAATTCAGTAACTCTTCACCGTTTTCTTCCTAGACAATAGGCATTCCCTGGCCAGCAGAGAAATATTGTAGTTCTAACTGTAAAAGTAATGGGGAATCTTTGGAAGGAGGATGCTGTGCAAGCACAGAGCAGTGCTGCTGAAAAGACCACAAATAGCTGTCCAAGAGTCTTGCTTCCAATTACTCTCTGTTTTAAGGCTTGGGCAGTGTCTTTTGCTTCTGCTTACTTGAAGAGAGAACAGACACAGTGCTTACCTATTAGCAGTTTCTAAAATACAAAGATAACCTTTTCCAAGTTAAATTGCAGTTGATTTTCCCTCTTTGAAAGAAACAGGTGATTAATGGTTTGTTTCCCAATTGGCAGGTCTTCTCAGCATTGTGATGGAACCCTTTTTCAAACGTGAAGTCTTTGACACGTATCTTGTTCCCATCAGCATCAGCTATGAGAGGATATTAGAAGAATCTCTCTATGCATACGAACTCCTAGGAGTCCCAAAGCCCAAAGAATCTACATCTGTATGTAAATTCCTTAAGAACAGAACATAAGTGGACATATACGCACCCTGTAGCAGAATCTCTCTATGCATACGAACTCCTAGGAGTCCCAAAGCCCAAAGAATCTACATCTGTATGTAAATTCCTTAAGAACAGAAGTGGATGTATACGCACCCTGTAGTGCCAGAATTTAAGTTTTCCTCTTCCCGTTTTCATAGGGGTTGTTAAAAGCCAGGAGAATCCTCAGTGACAATTTTGGTACCATACATATCTACATTGGCCAGCCAGTATCCCTTAGAACCTTGGCATCTGGGAGGATCAATCGGTGCCCGTACAATTTGGTTCCCAGGTACTGCATCTTTTCGTGGTGTATGCACAGGAAAAACATTTGTTTAGTCTACACCTATGTGAACTAAGATGTTCTCTTGTACTTTGTTTTCATCTTCTCTCACCTCCCTCCATCTGACTGTTCAGACTGCTGAACCTGTTTGGTCTGAGCAGAGGCTTATTGTGCTTATCACTGGGTGTTTCTGAAATGAATTGTTACTTGTGGCTTTCCCTGTGTTGAGAAGACACCACTTTAAAATTTAATGGTGATGCATGAACCAGGCAAAGCTCTATTTTCTGAGAATGTGGTGCTTTTGCCACTTAAAATTTTCACCTTTCTCTCACTTCTTGTGTTATTCCTGCAAGCTGTTAAGTGATCGTATATCAGGGAGAGCTGTAGCTGTGACTGGGTTGTGTTGCTTTTGTAATTTTTTCTGTAAAATATAATGCTTTTGAATTTTGTTTGAAGACAGCAAATATACAGCATCAGTGCAGAGGTCTGTTCTTACAGGTACTGTCATGCAGCTACTGATGCTTTGCTCCATACTTCTGTTTTACATAGCACATAGAATCACCTTGCAGATATTAGGTGCTCTAAAGTTACAGATCTGGGAACAATATGAAAGAAATAAAGAGGGATGTTATTTATATTAGACTTTTTGAGATCTTTACCATAAATTGCATTGTTTTTTTCAGGCATCTTCCCCAAAAGCCATCTGAGGATATCCAAGAATTTGTCAGTGACGTAGCTTATAAAATGGAGCTCCTGCAAATAGAAAACATGGTTTTGAGCCCATGGGTGCTAGTTGCTGCTGTCCTGCTCCAGAACTTGCCAGCCATGGAATTTGACCTTCTAATAGAAAAGACTCTGTGGCTTAAAGGCTTAACACAGACTTTTGGAGGATTCATTGAATGGCCTGGTATGCAGAGAAAGTGTTATTTCTGTTCCTCTTGTTGCTTATGAAAGATAAATTATATTTCTATTGAAGCAATGCATGGTGAGAGTTGTAGAGAATTCTTGGAGTTATAAATGGATTTGAGGATATGCTAAAAATCATGCTGAACTCTGACAGGTATTTTCTTCACCTGTTGAAGATAATACTTTGAAAAACAGTTAGGTGGAAACAGAACAGATATTTTGCTGTTGTATCATGAAGTGTGGCGTGAGAGGGAAATTATAAAGCCCTTTATCAGAGTAGTACAGTTTGTGTAATGTAAGTGCCTGTGTGTAAGTCATAGGCAGTAGCCTGATCTGCACCAGTTAATTCCATGTAATGCTACATTTCCTGCTTGGTACTGACTACAGTAAGTTGTTACTGGTGCAAAGAACTAGCAGAAACAAATGGGTGGAGGACATCAAAACTCTCAGTTGTGTGTTTATTTTTAAATTCATTTTATCTCCAGAAACAATGATGACTTTTGAAGGGAAGGCTTCTTTGGTGGTTTTATTAATATACTTATATACACACCCCCTTTTATATCTATCGATAGATAGATACATAGATATGTATAGTATATATATTGGCTGCTGAAAGATTGATTGTGCTTTCAAACTTTGTTTGAAACTTCTCTCTGTGAGCTAGAGTGACACAGGCAATTTTAGAGCCTCAGGATGTAAGTGGTAAAGCTAGTAAGGAACAGTATTGTGGAATGCACGTAGATTTACCTTTCTGCTGTAGGTAGACTTAAGCCAAGGATCTTTGCTTTTGTAGTCCTGTGTATAATCAAGGATGCCTCTCACTACTACAATAAAGAAATAGGGTCAGGCTACTGGTATGAAAGAGCTCTGTCACCTCTGGGAAAAAAACTCACTTCTTTCAGGGATCGACACTACAGGGAATGCAGGCAAGGTCTGCTTCTGCCAGACTGGTAAAAGCAAGAATTTCATGGCAATACTTAAAACAGCATTTAGAATCTTACTACACAGTAAACTGAAAAACATAACACATCCAGATTTGCTTATTTATTTTGTTTATTTTCTTAGCAACAGGTAGTAAGCATTTGCTTTAGTAGTGTTGTCATGTAGTCAGGGAATAGCAGATAGGCATGGTCATGAAATGGAGGCGTGACAACAGCTGAGTGGATTTTGTTGGAGTGTGCTGTGGGTGCTCGAGGCATCAGTTGCATACTGGGTTTGTTGTTTTGGTTTGGATTGTCAATTTGAAAAGAAGAAATACGTTTTAAAGGCCAATTTGCTGATGCCAGCAACTGCATGTATGCACTCCATTCTTTGGACTCTAAACAGCTGGTTATTTCTGCCCTTGTCATGCTGGTTGGTCGTTACAGGCAGAACAGTTGCAAAATTTTATATTCAAAACAGGAACTGTAAAATTACTTGCACAGACTTCTGTTTTCTATTGCATTGAGAAACAGGAGCTTTAGCAAAATTCGAACAAAGTAAGTTGAAGGAGTAAATAAGATGCAAGGAGACTGTACATGAAATCTGTATTAAAGGAAAGGAATATGATAGGGTTTTTTTCTGTCAGAAAAGGCTATATTGATTTGATATGCCTGTGGTGCTATGAACATGTAAAGTGTATTTTAGCGTTCAATATTAAGTTTTTTATTGCTTGCTTGTCAAATTGATTCCAATTTGATGCAGGGAATGTTTCTCATTGAGCAGGTATGTTGTGTAACAATATTTGTGCTAAGAATTTTTAGAAATTTAATTTGGGATGAGGCCTTGCTTATGTATGAGAGTTGATGAAAAAGTTCATAAAAAGATTTGTACCTCTGATTCAAAACTTGTAGTGTCAGAAATGCTTAAGCACAAGCATAGTCTCAGTTTCCTTACTAATGAATGTTTCCATTAAACAGATATTTCCTTTTTCTATTTGGAGGCTCAGAATATTTGTTCCAGAGACAAAGGAACAATTACAATTTATAGTTGTCAGTAAGTGGAAGAATTTGAAGCATTTTAATTGTAGAAATGTCTGAAATTTGTTCTCTCCATGTCATACTATGCCTAGTTTGCCAGTTCCTGGTATGGATTCTATTGGAACATCTCTCTAACTGAAAGTTTGGCTTAGTGTCCGAAATACTGGCACATTTTGGGGCTGTTTCAATAGAGTTATGTTCCCTTTTGCAACTTCCTGAGTGTTGTATTTTCCTCCTAGATAACCTGTGTGCCAAAAAAGCAGTCCTGTCTAGCCTCATCCTGCATTCCAACATCGCTCGCCTTGTCGATGGCCACATGGTCCTGAATGACAAGGGAGTGGAAGATGGAGCCATAGGGGAAATCGTCTTCAGGCACGCGCTGGCCGTGCTCATGTGTGCCACGTACAGGAACCAGCTGCTGAACGTCTTCGTGCGCCCAGCCCTGGTGGCAGTCGCCTTGCAGATGGCACCCAGCTTCAGGAAAGGTGTGCTGGGGCTCTGAGAAGCTGCTGCTTTGCTCCTTGTGCCATCAGCTGGGAGAGGAACACAGGAATGGTTCCTGTGACTGCTAGCGGGAGCTATCTGAGACTGTTACACTTGTGATAAGGTGGATGTGTTGGGAGGGCATGGGGATATTTTACTTGCCTTTTTTGTGTTTGTTTACCCTTTGATCCTTTTGTAGGATTTGATTGTGGAATTTAATGAAAAACTGCAAGCCCCGGCTCTTTCCTTTTTTTAACAATTGAATCAAGTGCTTTGAGTACTTGCTGTTCTGTTGCGGTTTCTGCCCTTGTATGTTGCTTCAAATGTCAAGTCCATGTTTTATTTGAAGTAGGTGCTCTCTTAAATAAGGAGTAAAGGGCTCTTCACTTGCATTTACAATATTTTTTTCAGAGGAAGTCTATAGCTGCTTCAACTTCTTGAGAGATGTTTTTTCTGATGAGTTCATCTTCTTTCCTGGCATTTCATTGAAGGTAAAACCATCCCTTATACAAAAATACTGATAGTAATGCAACCAATTAAATAGCATCTGATTCCAGGGCTCTGCTAATCAAGTGCTTTGTGAAAAACACCTACAGATATATCACCTTGATCTGTGAGTGGGAGGGAGAACTACAAAGGGGGTCATTATGTTGATTGCAAAATATTGTCTGAATCCACAAGATTGCCAATGCAATCTTTTTCTCCATTCCAGTAAAAAAAAAAAAAAGAAAAAGAAAAAAAAAGAAAAAAAAGAAATTGCCCAATTCTGAACTATTAAAATGAACTGTAGCACAAGTTTGGCTTTTTTGCATAAAGCTACCAGTCTTCCAGCACAGATCTGAAAATCTATGTTAAAACAGTCTTTTTAATGAAGTGTAAATGTTGTCAAGGGTGCAGCCTGTGAAGTTTTTTGAAGTGAGAGCTTTCCTAATGACATAATAGTTTCCCTCTTAGAGTCTTAGGAAGCTTTACTTGCATTCTTTTTTTGCTTGAAAAGAGTTTTCCCTCATTTTACCTCCTGCTCCATACAGGCATCAGTCAGACAAAGCCAGTATTGTTCCTGCACATGCCTTATTCCAGGGCTCAGTGTGCCTGTGTGCACCCCTTGCACAGCTGGATACAGGCAAGGTGGGAAAACTTCAGGCAACCCTTGGCCCTCTGCAGGACTTGCTCTGTCATTTTGTACACAAACCTGCTGGGTTAGAGCTGGCTCTGGTCCAGCCTGCTTAAAATGCAGGTGAAAACAAGTTTATCAGTTGAAAAACTGGTTCAGCCTCACACCCAATATAAATTGGCATGTGTAGTTTTTAATTGGATTTTAAACTGATTACATGTTATTTTTATCAATGCTGAGGACAAATACATGATGGTGATAGTTATGATCTTTCCTGCATTAAAAAAGAGATAAGTTTAATTTTCACAAAAATGTTCAACACTTGCAAATGTATTAAAATCTCATCGGTTTTTATATAGATGAGAATTGGGCCTTTTTTAAAGGCTGACTGGCACTGTTAAGTTTTATTTGTTGACAATTGTTGCCTCTTGCAGCTTTCTTGAAATAGCAGAAAGTAGCAGGGAGCAGGAAGGTGGCTGGCTATGACTGACTTTGCTGGAGTCAGATGGAAGAGTTGCTGTGATGCTAAGGGATCTTTTAGCCACCCACTCAACACTTTATTCATTCATATGTCTGTCATGTCCTTGTCCCATCCCTTTGTGTAATCTGTCTCCCCTTTGCCCATATTGGCAATTATGGTAATGCCATTGACCTTGACATTTCCATACTTTGTAACTTTTTGGCCATTTGTTTTCTGTTTGGTAGAGGGCAGGTCAGTGATCTGTATTATCATTTATTGCAAACACTGGACATGAGATAAAGGCAAACCCTTAGTTTAAAAATAGATAAATAAATAAAAAACAACCAAAGGAAAAAAAACCTTAGCTGGACAACCTGACCCTGTTTTGACAAAATCCTGAGGCAGCTCAGGTTGGCTGTTGCAATAGCAGCTACAGCCACTTTCTTTGTGCCAAGGTGTGTTGTGTATTGAGGAGCTGCTGTGTTTAAGAACATGTTCTCACTGCCTTTTTATATAGATATTTTTGGGAGACAGGAAAATTATGGTTCAAGTCTCTTGACAACTGAGTTCAGAAATGAAAGTGGTGCCCTGTTGTAGTTTCTGTTGTTGATTTTGTGGGAAATGGTAGCTGCATTTCTGTAAATGTTAGAATTTTAGTTATGCATTTCTTGCCCAGGATTTTGAGGAAGGATGTTTTCTACTCACAAAATGTGATGCCATTCAAATGAGTCAACAGGAGATTTACCCTACTGACAAAGGAAGTGATACGGTGTCTTTCTTGTCAGCTATGTTCAGACCTTTTGTGGAAGGTTATCAGGTATGTTGTCCTTCAGCAAATGATCTCTTTTTTTTTCCTATGTTTTATAAGGAAAGTAAGAGAGCTGTGGTATTCTGTGTAAATAGGCTGAGAAATGCAAAAGTTAAGAAACAGCAGTAATAAATCTTAAACACCACCCTCCCCCAAGGATCCCAGTTTTAGCTTTTGGCTCAGACTTGTCCAATTTACCAAAGCAGTAACTACTATGTAATGTGATGGCTCATTGTGAGTTTATAAGATTTACAGGGAGTGTGCTGCTACCAGGTTCATTGTTCTTTTTTATGAGGAGCTCTTGCTTAAGTAATTTTATGTGGGTTATCCTGCCAGGTGTGGAAATGAGTTTGTATCTCCTATCTGATAGCTTTTATGGGAGTCATTAATTCCATCCATATCTCTTTAAATTATTTTGGGTTTTCCAAGGTTTTAATAAGATTAAACAATTACTTTCCTGTAGTAACCAATGTATCTAAACCCAGAAGGCTAAAATCTCAGGTAAGTCAGTATAAGATTGGTGATACTGTAGGTGTTTTAACATAGTGGAATGTAGTTAGTGATCTGATGTGTGATGTGGGTGGAACTGTATGATGTGTCCATTTTTTCTCATCTTCAGAACAGGTATTGCTTTAAAAAAGTTAAACTGTTTTTGGTTGTAAGAACAAGAATGTAAAATTAACGTCTGAGGTAGCTGTTATAGAGTCTTATTTTAATATTGGGATATTCCTACCTGTAAAACTGTAATAAAACTTTCAGATGCCCTGTGCAATGGTACCTTTTGAGTTCCTCTCCTATGCTTTTCACAGTGGAATAATATTACTTACAAGGACACGTCTGTTTATAACTCATTACAATCGGACAATCTAAAAGAAAGAAATGTTCATTTTCTTGAAAATGTTAGTTAATTTTCAGATACCTCTCAAAGGAAATGAAAGAAGCATTTACTGAGAAGCAGTTTATACCCGGAGTCCGCAACTTTGTTTTTCAACTTCTCGAGAAGGGTGTGTACAGCTGTTACTCAATATGATTTTACAAGAGTAGCCTGTTAATTGAAAATTATAAAATTTTTAATTGTGTTTCTACCTTCTCCATAGGGAGTACACAATGTTATGAAGCACTGTCTTCTGACATGCAGAAAAATGCCTTATCAGCTCTTGTGAAACTGGGTGCAGTGAAGAAGAAGAAAATGTAAGTAATGTTAGATTTCTGGTGTATAGAAATCTTAGTGGCAATTCTTAATATCTGAGCTCCTAGCAGAACCCCAACTGCCAGAGCACTAGAGGTTGACTGGAGTCATAGAGAAGACCCAATAGTTCTTTGCTCTACATTGTGTGGAAGTGGAATGGCATGCCCTCATAGTGGAAAGACTCCTGTGGGACCTAACAACAAAATTCATTAACTCGCCGTTAGGCTGCTTCGGATTCCCTTTAACCTTTTGATTTTCAACTTTCTTCCCAATACTCTGATCAGAAAAGAACAGCACTGCTTATTTGTAAAACTGTGTGCTACGGTAAGCCTTGTGAGAAAATGTAAGCAATAATCAGGAATACTGCTAGTTTTGGGGGACTTCAGCACTGAACTCATCTCACAGCAATTTTACTGAAAGCTTAATCATTTGAGTCTTTTTACACAGTCCATGGTTATAGGCCTAAGATTAAAATGCACCTGTTGTTGTATTATGTGTTATTCTGCTATCAAATGAATTTGTGTGTGGTGCTCCTTACTGTGTTTAAAAGTATGAGCATGGAAGTCCCCAATAAAACAAGTCCCTGCAGTGTCTTGAGTGTTTCACAGAACATCGTTGGCAGCTGATAACCTGAACTATTTCCTTATGCCTCTGTTCATGAAATGAATAGGTTAAGATAAATGTCTGTAGCTAAATTTCCCTTTCAAAAGGAATAAATTGAGTGCAACGGAATTTGGGGACTGTGAACAAGAGAAAAGGTGTTCTAGAGTAGAAACCATGACTGTTCTAGAGTAGAAGTCTGACGTCCTTAAATTTGATACGTATGCTGGTATGATGAAAAATATGTAATTATGAAAATGTTTAATTCTGATTATTTGTGTAGAAATTACTGGAATAAGGAATATTGTTGAGTAAACTTTTTTTTTTTAATTGTAGGCCCAATGGATTAACTTACAATGTAAATCAAGAGGCTGTTAGTAAAATCCTGGACATGTTTGGTAAGTGTTCTCCTAATTAATTTCAAGAGAGCTTCTCAAGTTACAAATTACTTTGGACAATGCACATATGTTAGATGTAGTGCTTTTAGCTAGTAATTCCATAGACTTAACTGCATAAAAATCTTAGTAATATTTTTTTACAATGCTTTTTCTGGTATCATTAGCTGCAGCTTTGAATCTCCCCTCTTTATCGCAAATACTGTGCAATCCAGTGGCTGAGGGCAGTAAAGTAAGAAGTAGTTTATTGGTGTGGTGTTTACAGCATGTTGATCAGAAATATTTAGTGTGGGTTTTTCTGTTAGATGCTCGGATACCTGTACAGAAACCTGTGGCTGCACGACTCTAAATGGTCCCTGATGCTGTGAGTGGATGTAAGCTCCTGCTGAGAACATGGACCACTGCCCTGCTGGAGCAGGGGCAGGAACAGACAAGCTTCCCCTCTTGCCCAGCCAGCCTGCAAGTGCGGGAGGCACAGAGGTGTTTCTTCAGCTGGACAGCTCTCCATTACCACTTAGGAATTGCTGCTGAGAGGCTTAGAGGTGTATGTACATCCTCACCATGTTTTGTTTTTTTAAATAAATGAAACATTGTCTCTTTTTTAAATAAATATTGAAAGAGGTGTGCACAGCAATGGCTACCTAAATACATTTTTCTAGACTTGTAGCAAGTGTGATTGGTTTCAAATGTTTCATGGATGTGAAAATGTAACAGGGAATTAAAAGACTTGCTATTAAAATTAATATTTAGAAAAAAATGTTGCTGGCTGGCTAAATGTGAGGCAAGGCCTTCATGAATGAAGAGCACAAATCAAACCTTGGGCAATAACCAGAACTGATGTGTTGGGTTTTGTGCTTCGATATTTTGTGTTTGGGTTGGTTTTGGTTTTGTTTTTTTGTTGTTTTTTTTTAAGGCAGCTTGGCATTATTTTAATCACTTAATGAATGTTGTATTTAAACACTGAATTAAAGCACCATCGATTCCGTGTCTGTCGTCTCTTACCCCCGTCTCACCGCTGACTGCGCTGTCCGTTGAGGCGGCAGAGTTCTGACCCCGTCTTCGAGAGTTTTTATTTTTCCCAGTCCTCTCCCTGCTGCCGCGTTTCAAAGGCGGAGCCGGGACCGGGGAGAGCGGGGCCGAGCCCGGGCCGGGGCCGTCCGTGGGGCGGGGAGAGGGCGGGGCCGAGCCCGGGCGGGGCCCGCCCCTCTCGGGCCTGGCGGCCGGCGGGAAGCGGCATGGCTCCCGGCGTGGAGCTGGGTTTTGCGGCGGCGGCGGAGGGCCCGGGCGGTGCCTGGCGGCTGCACAGCACCTACTTCCCCAGCAAGGTCGGGGGGCGGCCGGCGTGGCTGGGCGAGGCCGGGCTGCCGGGCCCCGCCGCTCTGCGCTGCGGCCAGTGCCAGCAGCCCCGCGCCTTCCTGCTCCAGCTGTACGCGCCGCTGCCCGGCCGCCCCGACGCCTTCCACCGCAGCCTCTTCGTGTTTGCCTGCCGCAGCCCCGCCTGCTACCGCCTGGCGGGCCCGAGCGGGCCCTTCCGCGGTGAGGCGCGGGGACGCAGGGAGGGACGGGGCGAGGGCCGCCGGCCGCCGGCCCGCTGACCGGCGCGTCTCGCCCGCAGTGTTCCGGAGCCAGCTGCCGCGGCGGAACGACACGTACCCCGAGCGCTGCTGCGGGCGCTGCCGCCGCGCCGCCTACTGCGGGCCCGAGCACCAGGCGCTGGACTGGCGGCGCGGGCACCGCCGCTCCTGCGGGCAGCACGCCGCCGGAGGTGGGTCCGCGGCCGTCGGGGACCTCTGGAACTGGGGAACGACACGCGTGCCAGCCTGGGGTTAATATTGCACTGAGCTGCCGAGCCGCAGCTTTTGAGTTCTTAAATGCTGCTGCTAGCACTGTTCGGTCTGCCTTCCACGCTATAGCTGGATTTACAGAGCATCAAAGCAACAACTGCCGAGCCGCAGCTTTTGAGTTCTTAAATGCTGCTGCTAGCACTGCTCGGTCTGCCTTCCACGCTAGCTGGATTTACAGAGGATCAAAGCAACAGTACGCCTGTTGCAGTTTTCCACTGTCCTTGACAAAACTGTTTTTCTTACCTTCAGGTCAGGTCTGGCAGTGATGTAAATCTTTCTTGCTCATGCAATGTTTCTGCTATGTAGTTTGCTGTGTAGCTTTTGAGGAGAAGGGTGTGAAATACGACATGATGTTGTGAAGTGGTGTCTGTTTTCTGTTTTCTAGATGACTCGGCAGATGCAATTCCAGAGCATAATGAATTCCTTTTTCCAGAGTATGAAATTTTGATAGAACCTGAGGAACCAGAATTTCCTGCTGACAGCACTGATGATGAACAAGGAGCTGAAGACACATCAAAGGATGCAAAAGAACAAGAGGAACTTGGAGCTGCAGGCCCTGCAGGTCAGAAATAAAATGCTGCCTGTAATTCTTCCCAGTTGTGCCTGTTATCACATCTTTAAAATATCAAATATGGTGATTTTTAAGCGTTCGTTGTGAACTGCTGGTGAAAAAAGGCTAAATGTGCAGTTGTAGACATCCCATAATATAAGTTGCTTTTATGGGAGAGACTTACTAAGCTTTGACCCCAGGAGCTGTTGAAGCAGCTGTTGCTGCAAATAGCTCAGAGTTACACTGTGTCCCTGTGTGCTTCCAGTAGGTAAGGAACAACTCAAGTTGAGAAGGACAGGACTGAGCACCTGCTGCTGGATGCTGTTAAAATCAGGAGATTGTTAGATTGAACTAAGTCAAGACAATTTGTCTTACTTTATGGAAAATAAAATTTTCTTCTCTGTACTAGCAGAAAACTGGTTTGAGTATATTTTGACTGACTTTGAATGAAGCAGTTAAATGCAGGCTCCTTCCTCTCTGCTCCTGTTAAATTCAAGATGGGTTTGCTGCAACCACACTGGCTTTGAACACACCCAGGGTGGAGAGTTTGTGGTGGGTTCCTGGTGATCCCTTGCTGTGGTCCAAAGCGGTCTCAAGAGCGTTTGGTGCCCCCAGTTGATGTGGTTGTTGGAGTGTAACAGATACATTCTTCAGTGCTAAAAACTGAAGTCTGGCACGTGAGCAGCATGCAGGCCTTTTTCAGATGTTGTATCCTGAAAGTTCTGTAGTCTCAGTGATACCTGCTGGGAGCCATAAACTTTAGTAGACTTAACTCCTTCCCTTTCCAGTGTTCCAGTAGTGACATCTGTTTAAAATGCAACTGAAACTAGTAAATAGACCTGTGTGTGACCAAATCTTAACATGCCATGAAAAGAAAAAAGATTTTAGATTTATGCCAGGAATGGCTTATGAAGCAAAATAAAATTTACACATGCTAATACTGTTTTTAATTTTTAGTGTCTTGTATCAGCCTATAAGTTTTGTTTTTCTTTTTTCTTGCTTAGATGAAGCATTTCAGTCCTTAGATGAAGAGACATTGGAAGCAATGGCAAAACACGAGACTGAGGAAGAAAAGATCTTCCAAATGTTTAAAAAACAAGTAGCTGCTGAACCAGAACAGGTCAGAAGATGGGGCGGTGTTTGAAAGTAGCAGTTCTGACACAGCATCCTGCTGCACCTGCAACATTTCACTGCCTTTTGTATCTAGTTAGAAATAGGGATGTCTCTTCATCCTCCACACACCTAACCCACACACTCTCATCTTCATTACATGCTGAACTTAATTCATGCCCAAGTGAGAGTTTAGCACCTGCTCATCCACCTTAAACAGCCGCTCGTCAGGATGAGGTGGCACGAGGGTGCTGAATCCCCTACAGTGTGGAAGGAGCCACCTTCCTTCTCAGCAGAACAAAAACTGCAGAGAAGAGCTCTGTCACTGTCACCAGCTGCATTGGGGGGTGGCTTGGCTTTTTCTAAGGTTGAAGGAATTAGTGATGGCTCTAGAATTTCCACTATTTAAAACTGAAATCTTCCTCCCTTCCCATGCTATTTCTTATTACTGCAAAAGGCTTAAAAGCTACATTGTCAAACAAAACCATGGTCCCTGGTTTAATTCAGAGAAGAGAGTCCTAAATCCATCAAAGTGGTGAAGAAGAAATTCTCTTCATGTTTTGCCTGGTAGCTGAGGGGTTAAGGTACACACTCAGAAAGTAGGAGACTTTGAGTCTGTTCCCTTCTCTGCCTTAGTATGTGCCTCACTCTCTCTGACCACCTCTGTACTGACTGATCTGTCCAAGTGTCTGTCCTTTTGCTGATAATGTGTGATTTGCTAGTAACTGAAAAACAAAGGATATGTCTGAAAATACCTTCTTGAACATTAGGGTAGTCTTGTATTTAGATGCAGAACTGCAGACAGAAAGATCTGGATTGCATTCCTAACTGTGTGCAGGTCTGCGCGCTAATTATCCAGCTGCTCTTTCTCTATCTGAAGACTGTAACATACACAACCTTGCATTTCCGGGTCCCTTGGTTAAGCAGTTACAAATCACTGCAGATGATCCCTGGATCACTGAAAAAATATGGTATGAATGAATGAATACTTGCATGATTCACATAGTTAAGAAAACTTACATAAGAAATCTGTCTTATTTAGCATGCTGCATTTGCAAATTATATTTTGCCATGGTTATTAAATAACTGACCTTTTTCTGCTGTATCTACAGGTTTGTCTGTGTCACTAAACACCTATTTGATACCAAGATGAAAGGACAGTCATGAGAACTTAAATTTCTGCTGTATTTCAGATTATTAGATACTGCAGAGGAGAAGGTCCACTCTGGGTGTCAGGTGAAAATAGGCCTGAAGAAAAAGATATCCCAAATTGTGTATGTGGTGCCAAAAGGATATTTGAATTCCAGGTATGTAAGCTCATTTAAAAATAATACAGGTGATGTATTTCCGACTCAGGATCTAATGGTATAGGTGTTGGCTTGTAATTTGAGCAAGAAGGTTGAAGTTGCAACAAACTAACTACGGTAAATGATTGTACAGAGCCTTTATTTACTCTTGTAAGAGATTTTTCACTTCATAATGTGCATTATAAATAAGTTTGGCTGGAAGCATTCAGCTGTAGAATTTTGAATGCTAGAGGTGTATGTATGGTGAACACAATGTCAAGGAAAGGCAAAATACAGTTACTAATGGAATTTCAAATGGTGGGAGGCTTACAAATCAGGCAAGTCTTATAAGGCCAAATAAGCCTAGAATTCCAAATTTCGTTTGTTTGAGCTGCCATATACATAGTAGCTTCAGCTGGGATTTTGGTGTGAGAGAATATCAATTCTTATGCTAAGGACTGTTCTTCAGGAGGAGAAGTTGGGAAAGGGGAGAAGTCTGTGGCCTGCCTCTAAACCTTTTGTTTTTTCTTGAAGATTATGCCACAGCTCCTGAATCACCTTCAGGTTGACAGCCTTGGAGAGAGCATTGACTGGGGAACACTGGTAGTGTACACTTGTGCTGACAGCTGTGGTGGGGGAACTGAATACCTGGAAGAGTTCATATGGAAACAAGACTATTCCATGGGCTCTACTTTATGAAGTTGAGTCATTCAAATTGAATACTTGATTTGTTTCACTGCATCTCTGCACTATGTAAACAGGTAGTTGAACTGAAGTCACTTATAACTGTGCATCTTGTAACAGTGATAAAACTGCTGTAACTAGACCTTGACAGCCTCTCTTGTGCTCCAGAGGAGCTTTTACTTCAACCTGGTAATGAAGCCAGATGCATTTGTTCAGAAAGCTTCATTTCAAATCTCATTTTTGGAAGTTTATTAAATAAAGATGAAAAAATTTTGGATTGGTGAAATTATCTTTTGTTGGTAATGGAACTGCAAAAACTTAAAATATTGTAGTCTGTCAGGATTTTCTTTGGGCCACTCAAAAACTAACATTCATTCAAAGAAAAGCAACTACAGCAAACCCACTTGAGTGCTTATGCTGAAGAGGTGTACAGGAGTCAGCTAAGACAAAGCTGCGTAGCCTTTTGCTGTGGAATTTAAATCCGCCTCCCTTTCTCAACAGGTACACTAAACCTGACTTTGGAGTTTGTCACATATTCTGATGGAGTGGTTATTCGAGATAAAATGCACAAAAATTAAGTGTTTTACCTGACTTTAAAACTATTAGCCCCATGCAGAAGGAGTTTAAACAAAGTCAGCCCTACCAGAACAAGTTTGTCTTGTTAGACACTGCCTGTAGCAGCAGATTTTCAGGCTGAATTGTACCTTAAATCTGCCATCATTGGTGAAGTTTAAAAATAAGCATCCTCTGCAGGGATTCTTCCACTGTATGACTGCCATATAGCTGAGGCAAGAGAATAGTGAAACCATAATGCTGAGTTTTACTGTGCTAGTTAGTTGCTTAACTACTCCCATGGCTATGGCAGTATTTGCAGAAAAGGCTTTTTTGTGTGTTTCCCTGTGGAACTGACTTGAGTTACATATTCCCTTACCCTGCTCCAGCCATTCATGGCTTCTTACCTGTGACACTGTGAGGCCCACTGTGGGGTTTTTGAAATAATTTAGATGTTAAAAGTACTTAAATAAGCAGGCAGAGAATGCTGTACCTGGAAAGGGGTTTTATTATCACAGAACTTAATTTCTAGCAGGGTAGTTTGAAGCCCTGGTCTGTGTTATAAAAGAGCAAACTGTCTTAAGTCACTGTAGTACAGCTTGACTGATTTTGTTGAAAAACTGTCCTAGCATTTCTTAGGGCTTCAAGATTTCTGAAGAGTTGAAGAGTTTTGCACAGAAGTTGGTAATAGTTCAGGTCCTGCAAAAGCATGGACAGCCATACAGTTACAGCCACGAGCTCTCGGGAACATTCATGAGCTCACAGCAGAGTGGCTTAGCACTGAAGGCAACACAGTGCTTGAGTATATCCTGCAGAGCTGCATTAATAAACAGCATCTTTCTGGTAAGAGCCATGAATCCAGTCATTAAAACACCTGGAGAGACACTGGTGTAGAGAGAAGACTGAAGATTAATGTCACTTGGTGTTGAGGACTCCATGTGTGGAGACACGAGGGTCGACTTCATTTTCTCAGAAGGCTGATTTATTGTATTATATATTATACTAAAATACTACATTAAAACCATACTGAAAGAACAGAGAGAAAAGAATGATAAGAACAAGAATAGAATAGAATGCATAACAATCTTGTGACTGCTCACAGCCTCAGCACAGGTCGCTGTGATTGGTCATCAACTGAAAACAATCCACATGGACCAATGGAAGATGCACCTGTTGCATTCCACAGCAGCAGATAGTTATTGTTTCTTTACTGAGGCACTCAGCTTCTCAGAAGGGGATAATCCTAGCAGAGGATTTTCCATAAAATATCATGGTGACGTGTCACCCTTTTAAATTTATTAAATTAAGTAGAAAAAGAATGTTTGTAATCTCTTCTACTGGGCCCTTGCAGAAGAGAGAACAAACACTTCTTGAGGTTTATCTGTTGCCAATCAAAACCTCAATCAACTGCTGATGTGGAATGGTCAGGGAAATTCTTCACCTGTAGAACATCAAATTCTATCATATCACTAAAACAATCTTAAAACATAAGAAAATGCAAAAAACTCATGCAAAGAATGTTCATTGTTTCAAGTCCAAACAGCTGAATTTCAGAACAGAGTTCATGGACTGAAGATGTTCCTCTTTGACATCTCTGGAAATCCCTTTTGGTCCTGAAACAGGCTTGCAGAATTCTGAAACAAAGAACTGCTAAAGAAAATCAACAAGAATAATCAAAAAAATCCATTGAGAGTCATGAAACAATTCTGAGAAAAATTCTGGAATGCCCTGGCCACAGCCCTTCATTGAACCACTTGGGCTGAGGCTAATTCTTGACTTTTCAATGCTTTTGAGCTGCTAGCTCTTTCCACTTTCTCTTCTTCTTTTTTTATTTTTATTTTATTTTATTTTATTTTCCCAAAAATGCAGCAGCAGCAGCGGGTCTCTAGGACTTTTCGGTGGCCCTGGTCCTGGTGGTCGGACCAGAGAACCCAGACCTGGCCCACAGAACGGTGGCCCTGGTCCCAGCAGGGAGCTCAAAGCTCCCAAACCCAACACTGGACAGGGTGGAGGCCCAGGGAAAGGAGCCAAACGGCCCAGAACCAGCCTGTGAGGTGGGCTCTGCGTGCTCAGAACCTGGCAGGACCATGCTGCCAGTGTCTTGAGAGCAGAAATGACCAAACGCTTCCTGCCCCCAGCAGCACCGGTGCACAGCAGCAGCTTGGGAAAAGAAGCTTTCTCAGGAATTTTCATCTCGGATCTGGGGGGTTCTTGTCCCCAGAGCAAGCGAGCAATGCTTGCTTTGCACTGTGTCTCTTGCTCCTGCAAGGCAAACGCCACTGCTCCCGCTTCCTGCCCCTCGGCACCACCCTCATCCCCTCCGGGCTGGGGACCAGAGGCAGATTTTCCAGGAGCCAACTCCCCCACGCCGCTGGGGCGCTCGGGGGGAGGCAGGCACCCCAACCCCCAGAGAGAAGCCCCCGACCACACGCGAAATGACCCAGAAACCACACTGATTTCGAACACAGCCAGCCGGGCCGTGCCAGCCTGGCCATGGCCCCCCACGGAGGGACAGGCTGTCCGCAGGGTCTGATGCAGACACGGACACGAAGGACGGCGTCCCCGAAGGGGGCAGAACCACTGGGGGAGCCGACGAGAGCGGTGCGGGTGCTGAGATCGGCTCTTGAGGCGGTCCCGTGGGCTCAGCGCCGGTCTCGGCATGCTCTCGCACTGCACGTGGGTTGGCCGGGAGCGGCGGGACCGGCGCGGGCGGCGGTATCGGCGCGGGGTTGGCCCGCGCCAGCGCCGCCTGCACCGCTGTGAATTCAATTCATCGCCGGCGGCGATGCAGAGGGAGAAGGCACGGAGGCAGCTCCTGCAGCTCCCGGGGACAGCGGCACGGCCGGGGAACCATTGTTGGCGATTGCGTTGCCTGGCAACCCAGAGGCATCGGCGAGGAGCGCTTCCGGGTGCCGCGGCGCAGGCGCAGTCATCAGAGCCGGCGGAGCGGCTCCGAGAGGCGGGGACCGGCGGGGACCGGCGCCTCCCGCGGGGCCGGCCGGGGCGGGATCGGGTCCGCGCCCTCCCGGAGTGGGGGAAGCCGAGAATGCCGCGGCGGAGCGGGCCCGGAAAGCGGCGGGGCCGGCTCCCCCATCCCCCCCCCCGAGAAAGAACGGGGGGGAAAGGCAGCTCCGTCTGCGCATGCTCCGAGGGAGCAGAGGAAAACTGTTCCTCAGCCGTGGGCGAAGCCGAGGGCTGGGAATCAGCAGTTCGTCCTCTTCAACAGGTTCCTTCCTCTCTCCCGCACCTGGCGGGAAGGGAGCGACGAGCTGCACCACAGCCTCCCTTCGCTTCAAAACATGGAAGAGGGCTCGGAACGCCGGAAAAATTTCCGGAAATCCAAAATGCCAGGCAACCACGCACACACAGACTCCATGAAATCCCAGAGATCTAAGTCGAGGGAGTATATCAAATCTGTAAAAAATCCATGGAATTTTGCCCATCTGAAAAACTCATAATAATGTCTCTCCAACATATTGATTCTGTCCTTGCGTCCCCACCTGCACCAGAGGTTAATAACTTTATCATCTGACACAGAAAACCAAACCTGAGTTTTCAAAGGTACATTTTGCCAACTTGCCATTCACATTCTGCGAAAGGCAGAAGTTTCAGGAAGGGAAAACTTAACAGTACCTTGAGACAGTGTCCTTATGGATCCAGCTGTGCAGCTCTGCTGCTCTGCGGTCTCTGGACACCATGTCCAGGAAACTCCAACAGGTTCATCTGTTTGCAGCCACGGCTGTGAACTGTGCCCATCTTCAGGGCCTTGGTTCTTCAGCTCCAGGCTGGACTCCGTGGTCACTTCTGGGGTGACCATCAATGCCACACGCTCGGGGGTCACCAATTGTTGAGGATGCCCCATGTGTGGAGACACGAGGCTCGACTCCATTTTCTCAGAAGGCTGATTTATTATCTTATATATTATACTAAAATACTACATTAAAACTATACTAAAAGAACAGAGAGAAAAGAATGATCAGAAGCCTTGAAAGAACTAGAATAGAATGAATGCATAACAAAATCCTGTGACTGCTCCCAGCCTTGGCACAGGTGGCTGTGATTGGTCATCAATTGAAAACAATCCACATGGACCAATGACAGATGCACCTGTGGCCTTCCACAGCAGCAGATAGTTACTGTTTACATTTCTTTCCTGAGGTCCTCAGCTCCTCAGGAGGGGAAAATCCTAGCAGAGGATTTTCCATAAAATATCATGGTGACAAGTCGGGATTTGCAAATGGAGCAGTGTCAAAGCCAGCCAAAACTTAATTTTGTCTGGAATGAAACACTAACTTAGTAATGAGATCACTGTTTACAACTGAATTAGTTTCAGATAAAAGCTGTTTGAAATAATGTGTAAGTCATAGAGAGGTTATTATTCCTGGAAATTTACTGAAGGAAATAAAAAGGTTATTTTTAGCTCTGAGCCTATTAGGCTTCAAGCATCGTTCAGAAGGAAGATTATGTACATGCTGACTCCAGTTGGAAGGGCTTTGACATTTTACAGGAACACTAATATAGTGAGGCTGTCACAGCTGGTAAAATACAAAGGTAGTAGTTTAAAGAAAATCTAGAAGCTAAGCAGGGATCTATTGCTGCAGTCAAGTGCAACTATTTAAGACTTGCCTAAATCCCATCTGTTGAACATAAGGCAGCACATACTCAAACACAAGCTTCTTTAAGCAATCATCTCTTCTGCTTTAACATACTGGAAATATTCAAGGTAGACACTGC